AGGTTATAACGGTTAAGCAGCTGTCAAACACTATGTTATAGCAAATTATGGTTGGTAGCGGCTGATTCGTTGCAAGGATAGCGCAGGACCGCAGTGTGGAAACACGAAGTACATTTATAAACAAGGAGGTCTGGCCATGCCCAAGACAAACATTCAGTCCTGAAGGAAAGAGGAAAAGGGAGAGTCATTATGTGGAAATAAGAAAAGGGCATGATGTGGGAGTTGTTGCTGCTCTCTAAGAGGTAACTAGGTAACTAAGAAAGTGCTTTTAAAAATTACCATTGCTAACACAAGTCTGGGAGATCCTCCAGTGTTAGCAGCGCTGCAATCACAGAATCACAGGGTGGTTGAGGCTGGCAGGCACCTCTGGAGGCCATGTGGTCCAACACCCCTCCTCAAGTAGGGCCACTAAGAGCCCATTGCCAAGGAACATGAACTGGCCTTCTGTAAACTATGTCTTTTATGTGCTGCCACTACGGCTCAAACATGATGATTAGATTCAGTGCTGATCAGGCTTACCTGACCTAGTCCTCAGGCAAAACAGACAGAAGCAGTTGGCAGGCCCTTTTGGCTGAGTCTTCCAATGTTGTCAATTGCTTTAAATCACAGTGAGTACATTTTCCTGGTGTAGACAGGGTCATTGTTATGTTTTCAGGAGGGCTATTTTTATACAGTGAGTCATGTTAACGCCTGTTCTGATTTGTTGTTCTTCCACCTTCTTTAAAAATGAAGCAGGACTAATGCATATTTGGCATAATTTCACAAACTTCTGAATTTTAACTCTGAGTTTGGCCATGGAGTTGAAAACAGATGGTGACCCCTGTCACACTGTAGGTTTCCTTTGGCAGGGAAACTGATGTAGGTACTTCTGTCCCTTCAGCTTCACAGCTGTCCTAGGAACTGTTACCCTCACACTGCTGTTCTCCTCAGCTGTTTCAGTGCAGGGTATTGTGGGGGTAGCTCCACACAAACTGTTCTTCACTATTTCACTGCAACCATTAATGTTTGGAAGAAAAAACAAGTATAAAAAGGAACATCCTGGAGTTTTGGGGGTGTTTGGGTTGGGTTTTTATGAGCATATTTTTAAATTTCTGCTCTTTTCATTTTAGACATTCCCACTAACAGTTGCATGACGTTATAAAGGTAGGAACAAATTCTGGATGTAGGTTGGAGAGGAACTTCTTAACCCCATGAAGAAGTGTTTGGTATCACTCTACCCTGGAATAAAAGCATGGACTCTTAGATTTTGCACTACAGTTGTGGAAACCACTAATCGGGTTTAACGCATTGAAAGCCTTGCTTCTAGCATGTAGATGTGTTCGTGTGAAAGGGGCACAGGCAGTAGGGCTTAAATCTTTCCTGATAAAGCACAGCTCTGTCACCTGGACAGCAAGGGAAGGGTCCTCAAAGTGAGCTGAAATAAGCAAGTCATCACCTGCCTGGGGGGACTGGCCTCGTGCCATACTTTCCACTTCACTGAAGTGGAAGGTATTGTCTTCCTCTTGCATGCACTGGGATATTGCTACTGGACAGATTGGATAGAAAGCATGATGAGGTCAGTGTCTGTACAGCAGCTTACACAGAGGATGTTTATGTCCAACGTGTATTTGTTTATAGTATTTTTATTTAAAAAAGCCCATTGCTTCTGCTTTTATTTTAAGCACTAATTAGGACAGAAATCCAAAGAGGAAGGGCTGACAACATTTAAATGTCGACTTTTTTACCAGAGTCCAAGCTGAAAATTTAACACTTAGTATAATTCTGTGGTGATTTTTTTTTCCCTTCATCTTTTGCCTGAATGGAAATACATTGTCACTGTATTTCTAGACACCTGTTGTAAGGAAAACTAATTATGGAGAAAGCTGAAAAGTTAATCAAACAAGATTGTGAGGTGGGCTGATGCCAATCTCATGAAGTTTAACCATGACAAGTGCAAGGTCCTACACCTGGGCACAGCTACAGGCTGGGCAGAGAAGAGATTCAGAGCAGCCCTGCGGAGAAGGACTTGGGGGTGCTGGTCAATGAGAAAATGAACATGAGCCAGCTTCAGTGTGCGCTTGCAGCCCAGAAAGCCAACCGTACCCTGGGCTGCATCAAAAGGAGCGTGACCAGCAGGTCGAAGGAGGTGATCCTGCCCCTCTACTCTGCTCTCGTGAGACCTCACTTGGAGTATCTTTACAGTTCTGGTGTCCTCAACATAAAAAGGACATGGATCTGTTGGAACAAGTCCAGAGGAGGGCCACGAGGATGATCAGGGGACTGGAGCACCTCCCATATGAAGATCGGCTCAGAAAGTTAGGGCTTTTTAGCCTGGAGAAGAGAAGGCTGCGTGGAGACCTCATAGCAGCCTTCCAGTATCTGAAGGGGGCCTATAGGGATGCTGGGGAGGGACTCTTCATTCGGGACTGTAGTGGTAGGACAAGGGGTAATGGGTTAAAACTTAAACAGGGGAAGTTTAGATTGGATATAAGGAAGAAATTCTTTCTTGTTAGGGTAGTGAGGCACTGGAATAGGTTGTCCAGGGAGGTTGTAAATGCTTCATCCCTGGCAGTGTTCAAGGCCAGGTTGGACGAGGCCTTGGGTGATATAGTTTAGAGTGAGGTGTCCCTGCCCATGGCAGGCGGTTGGAACTTGATGATCTTAAGGTCCTTTCCAACCCTAACTATTCTATGATTCTAAGAATAAACGAAGTTAGAACCTGTGATGATGTTACTTTATTTTAGAATGCTATTATCAGCAGGAACTGTAGACCTGGAGAAGTGCTTCTGATCAGCAAGTAGATTTGAGTTAAATTTCTATTAACAGCCTCCTGTTTAAATCACTTGCCTCTGTTATGTATCTTGTGAAATGAAGCTTGTGGTGGCACAGTGTTTTGGAATTTCACTCTTCTGCTGTTCAACTGTCTTTGAATCAATATACAGTCAGTTTGCATTTGGAAGGTTATTTGTGCAATGAAAATAACTAGTTACCATAATATTTCATTGAAAAGTAAACTCTGTGCAACTTTTCTAGCACTCAATTCATTCATCAGAGGTCAAATGAAAAATGAAGTTTTATGCCTTTGCCATCACTGACTTCAAGCAATTAGGCTGGTGGCCATGAATATGAAAGCTCCTATTTCTTGTCAGTGCAGAAAAAGTTGTTCTTGCCAGTGCCTGCATTATCCTGTTGGTGGTTAAACACATCTGAGCATTTTTGTGTCGTATATTGAATAAAGAGGAAACAGTAAAAAACATGTTTGGAATATTTCATCACATGCTGCTATCTTTTTCTCCCTGAGTACTGGCTGAAGTCCAGTTTGTGGTTGTAGCACAGCTGGGCACCCATCTGAGTACTTGGACTGCTTAGACTTACATTTATTTTGACTGTATTTTTTGTTTTTACTTGTCTTTTCTGAAACTAAACCTTAAAAATAAAAGAGGGAGAGGGGCTCATAATGAGGTCTGAGCTCCTCACTCAGTTTGTTAACCCAAAGAGATACTACAGAGCTTAACCTCAGAAGTTGCCAAGCCTGTTACCCTCATGTCAGAACTGAAAATCAGAACAAGTGTAAGCTACTTTCTTGATGCTTTCATGATTTAGGCTGAATATTTACATGGTGCCTTTCAATAACTGGAGCATATTTGCCAGAAGCAATTGCTTTTTTCTGGTGAATGACAGCAATGCAATTGATTGCATTAGACAATCTGGGTCAAACTGAATCATGGTGTGTGCCTGTCTCTACTGTGTGTACATGCCTGTATATATGCATGAGCTTATCCAAATATCCATAATAAGAGGAGAAGATAAAATAGTTCCTTATCTTGCACATGGTATAGACCAAGTTAATTTTGTAGAATACAGGGTATTTACTGTCCCAATCTCACTGCAGATAGTGGTATATGAAATTTCCTCTGTTGCAGGAAAGAGAATTATGCTTTCACAATTAGCTGAGAAATGGTTCATTTTAAGAATAAAAGGCATAAACACTGATAGAATCCATAAGTTTTCCCTCACTGCATGCCCCAATGACAACTTTAACAGCATTTGAACTAGTGTTTAGGCATTACAAGATCTGGTATGAAATGAAGTTGGAAAGAAATGCTGTTTTCTGGCCATGAGTTTTTCTATTTTTTTTAAGAATGTAGTTTAACGATCAGCTCAGGCCAGTCTCCCTCCCTTCCATACAGCATGGATGCATTTTCCTGCTGTTGTTCTGTGTCAGTGCAAGCAATTGTGCCACTGGCAAGGCCTCACCAAGCTGAATATTTTTCTAACATGCAAAGTTAAATCCACACCACAGCAGCAAACTGTTGCTCTCCTTGTACAGCTATGCTTTGTTGACACAAGGTAAGGAAGAGTAACACATGGCCATGTACCATGAGAGGAGTGGAAATGCCTTTTTCAGTCTAGTTTGAGATTAATGAATGTTGTCTCCTTTCACTTGCAAACTTCCACTATTCCCTGATGTGAGCAGACCGTCTGTCTCCAAGATGTGATGGAGTGGGCAGTATGGCAATGGGTGCTGCTAGAGTTGTCGGATGTTTGTCGTAAGAGCAAATAGTACCGTTTATTTTAGTGGTTGTGGTGTTAGCATGTTGCCTGTGTTCTGCATCAGCAGAGGGCCAAGGAGGAGGCACTGAGTGACTGAACGTACTTTCCCTCTGTGGTTTTATCTCTAGATTCCTCTTCCTTCCCCTACCTTATGCCATCATCAGCATTGTTACCTCTTGGATAATGGGCAAGTGGCTTCATGCTCTGCCACTTACCAGGTCAGCCGTTGTCAAAAAAATAGGTGGAGACTGGAGCTAGTGTTTCTTTCCTTTTTAAAAGACAAAATGCATGTGTGATACTGTGCTACTTCTGGCTCTGAATAAAAAGAAACTGTTGGTGTTTGGACCTTGTTAAACGACTACCACGTGAAGACCACCAAACTTAACAGCAGCTCTTAAATAAGTGTGATGATAAAAGCAAATATTATTAAACAAATCTTTATTTTTGTTTTGTTTTTCCTCCTACAGGAATATTTTTACCCGAAATACTTGGGTGAGTTGGAGCTTTCACTTGCACTTTGTGGCAGTGCTGGTATCTGGTGCCTAACACTGGAGCTTGTCACAGCTGAAGTCTCTGCTAAGGAAAGTGATGGAAATCTGATTGCAATAAACATGCTTTGATAACTTTTAAGATAGACTGTAAGCTCCTTATGTGATTTTGAGGTGTGTTTTACTTATGTATAGATTTGCATACAGAGATCCTTATGTGTTCTGCATGTTAAAATGTTGATGTTGCATTTATACCTGTAGCTTGCATCATTAGTAAATAATTTTAGCTTTTCTATCTTCCCTTTTTAACTCAGCTATTAACTGATCTCCTTATCTTAAAAATAAAAACATGCCTTTACTTATTAAACCATTGGCTTACTCTATTGACTGTATCATAGTCATGGCACCATACTGGTTTTTATTTGTATTTAATATGTGGTACTTAAGATCACAAATGCTGACAGTTTGAGAAAACTCCATGTGCTTTTTAGGCTTTTTAAGGGATTTAGTTGGTCAAATTTGATGAGCTACTAACATGCTTTTAGAATCATATTAGCATCTGGTTAAGAGATCATCCTTTTCAGATGGCTTATAACTCTACTGTACACCTGAGCTAAAATATTTTAATGAACTTGAGCATTTTAAGACATCTGGGAGAAAATAAAATTGCATCGATTTTGCCTCCATCCTCCAAATCCTTGCTCAATGAATCAGCAGGTCAGGTATCATTTGACACGCTTTGAACAGCTGCCAAGTCATCATTATAATAATAATAATTTCATTTTCTGTTCTTCAGCTTGTATTCAGAAATATGGGTCGCCGTATACAAGGAGTCCTGATTTCCTTACATGCGTTCATAGTAAGCACTTTCCTTTTGTATATTGTAGTTAAATATTCTTTCATTCTACCTGAAGGAGTAGGACCAGCTCAGCCATCTCCATTTTTGATAGTATTTTAGTAGTGATCTTCCTATACTGTAGGCATGAGACTCCATATCACTTTTCCTATTTGAGGAGCAAAAAAAGATCTTTTCCTTTTTATAACCTGTCACCACCTCACTGCTGTGTTTCGGTGCTTTGGTATTTTATGATGCACAACATTTCTTTCCCACCAATTTCCCAAGATCTGAATAAACTGAGAAGCAAGAGGGATGAAAAACAGGGTTTACCATAACATTATACCCTATGCTTGGCCTTTCATTGTCTTTCCTCTTAAATAGTACCCCTGTTATAGGAACCTTAATAGCTTACCCCTGTTAAGGAACCTTAAAAAAATCTTTAAATCAAACACAGGCTTGTGTCAGGCTTCTTCACAAGGATATTGGTTTCAGGCATGTGACTGTGCTTTAAATACCACAACCTTTACAAGTTTAAATCAATTTGGAAGTCAAACTGTTATCTTCATAGATGGGAAAGGGGTATATTTGTTCGCTGCTAACACTAGAGATCAGAATGTAATGAACACTTCTAATACCTTCCCAGTTCCATCTTGAAGCTTAGCAGTGCTAAAGGTATAAAGCTGCATAAAAGTTCTAAAAATGTTCTGGGAGCAGATCAGTTCACATGGGGAGAAAATCACATGTGTGTTAATTTATTTTCATTTTTACCCCTGTGGTTCAGTCTTTACTGTGAACAAGCTTGATTAGTCATGTCTTCGTACCAGTGCTGCCAAAGGAGCATCAGGATTTAGTCAACCTCTCATGTTTATAAACTTAATTACAGCAGTTTTTGAAGAGTGAATTCCAAAGTTTGTAAGTGGTATGTGAAGACTTGCCCTCATATAATGTAGCCGTATCACTTACAGATGTTCGAGTCCTTTGAACTGAGGATTCTAAGATCTATGGTAGTCATGCCAACTGTGGTATGCCAGGTAGTTCAAAGTGAGACATAAGGCTGAATGCTTCCTTTTGTTCATGTGTGTGGCACAGTGAAGAGGCAGGAGTTTCTGCTGAAAATGACATTATCAGCTGGGAACACTTGTTCCAAACAGCTAATCAGTGTTTTAGAAATGTAAGTTTAAATGATAGTGATGAAAACATAAAAGATAAATAATTGTTTTTAGGGATTTTTGCCCTTTGCAGATGCAGTGGTTTGGAAATAAAATTATAATATTTTCTCTCATTAAAGTATTAAAATGGCTGAGTTTTGGCTAGCCATTGTCAATTCACAGGAGAAGTAATGGAGAAGGAGCCTGAGATGCACTTGGAAGAATGACAGGCTTTGTGCTTGGCCAGTTCCAATGTGCCTCTTAATTCTTCACAGGTGCTGCTGTAGCTCTGTGAGGCTGTGCCCACAAGACACATTTACATTTTGTCTCTTAACAGCCTTTCTTCTCTCAAAATAAAGTAGTGGAAGGCTCTTTTAATCTGGCATTGCAAAGACATTGCACAATCTAAGGGCTGGAGGGTGATCAACTAGACTAGTTTATACTAGAAACAGGATAGAAATTTTAACTGTGACAGTAATTAGATAGCTTGGCAGAGTATTTGAGGATTCTCAGTTTCGTAAGATCTTTAGATCAGGGTTACAGGTAGGATTCAGCTCTGGATTCAGAGAGGTCAATGCAGGTGTTTCCAGCATGAGTGCCTACATGAGCAGTATTCCCATCACAATAGTGGAGAGTTAATATAGAGGGATTCCATTGACCAAACTGTGTCTACTCTGGGAAGAGCTGAATCATTCTATTGACTTTGTTGTACTGACTAAATCTCTACTTACTGCAATGAGAATTTACGACAACTGCTTTGCAGATAGATGCTTACCTTATGCAGAGGTACCTGTACTTTCTTCTGCAGATCTGCAAGGATGTCAGCCCAAGAATTAAGGATTTGTCTGGAAAATTCCACAGATTTTTTAAAAAATGAAGCTGCATGTGACCTTAAAAAGTACAATGGGATTTTTGTTAGGTCATGGGTGTCTGCTTTTTAATAGTGAGTGCCATAACCTTCACAACCTATCATTTTTCCTGATGAAGTTTTAATTTGCACTATTTTGTGAATATCAAAAAGTAAATTAGCAGAACAGAGTAATGAACTGGAAGCAGCAAGCTGTGTAAAGCCTTGTTTCCATAGACTTCAAAAATGGAACTGGTAGTTCTATTCCCTGTCTGCACTTACGAGCTATATATGTGCTATGAGAAATAGCTCAAAACACATTAAGAGGTCATGCTCTTCATTACTTTTAAAATCTGTCACGTAAATGAATGGAAACAAAAGCTTCATTTTCTCTTGTGGTGATTTAAATCAGGAGCACCTTCTGTGAAGCTGGCAGAATTACACAACTTTGAAGCCACCAGGAGAGTATAAGCCTGTGCCTCATGTTCTCAAGCTCTCATGATGAGAGGAGCAAATTACTGGCACAGTGGTGTTGCGATAGAAATGTCTGAGGTTGTTCCTGCCATTCACCATGGGTTGTGATAGAGTGTATTCAGGTGGGCAGCATTACTTCCATCTGGCTCTGCAAGGCACATCAGAATCCAGTTTGAGAGAAAGAATCAGAAGCTTGAGGATATACCAGATGAGTCATGCATAACCCTATTGACTTGTTTTGCTAATCAAGTGACTTTGAAAACCCTGCCATGTCTGGGAGGCTTAGATTGTGCTGCTTCCAGACTTGGCTTACTATACCTAAACCATTCTGTTTACGGTATACAAATTTTGGTCTGTCTACAAAAGAAAGATGCTGATTAGAGCTTACTCTGCCTTAACCTTCCCTGTCCTTCCCTGACTTTTCCACCTCCAGCAGTGTATTGTCCGGGCAGTGATTTATCGGGAGGTATTCTGGCAGTTGTACGTTCAGACAGCCCGTGTAGCTGTGTTTTCTTTTGTGTGGACTGGCCTCCTTTTTGTCAGGACAAGGGTATTCCCTTACCCTTCCTTTAGCTATCTCTGCCAAGCACTGTCCCTGGGTGTTTTATAGATAGGTGGGTAGGTAAATTTGGAAAGGTGATGTCAGTTTGTTGAACAGTTACTTGATAATCTGATATTTGTTACTCCAGCCCTCCCCAAAGTATGGTGACCGCCCTCTTGCTGCTTTTCTATGGAGAAAATCCAGTGTGCTGTCTGTAAACTGGATTAGAGGTTTGCCATTCTTATGCTGTTAACACATTGGTCTTTCTTTTTTTATTCTCATTCTACACAATAAAAAAAGCCTAAATTGGACAGCTCTGACAAAAATTTCGGGTATAAACCTTCGCTAGCCACAAATCTCAGCCCTGGTAAGATCCTCAGTTGAACTACTGGGAGTCATTTAAAAGCAAACTCATCCTATCTTGAGTACTTATTACTTTAGTTGCTACCTGCTTTGTATTTTCTCCAAAGTAGGGAGTGTGAAATTAACTTTCTTAAAAATAAGCTACTTCGAGTTGCTTCTTTCAGGGTGTGCCCCTCAGATATGGGGTGGTAGCTCATTCCCTTTTGCAATGAAATGAATTCCACTGCATGTGCTCCACAAAATTCCTGGCACAGCTTGTTCAGCATGTGAGCACTAAGAATTAGCTTCTAGTTTTGCCAGGTGTGAGTATTTCTGGTAGTAATTCCCCATTACTGTTTAAGCTTCCTGACTTTTAATGAGAGTGAAAGACCCAGTTGTTAGTAACTTCAATGTATTGTTCTCGTTTTGTTTATTCGTGGTTTTTATTCCTTATATAAATCAGATTTGCCAAACCAGTGTTCTCCTGACCCTTGTCACAAAGAAGGGACTGTCAAATGCGAAGATCTCAAGGGGGACTTCTACTGTGAATGCAAGCATGGCTGGCAGGGAAAAACATGTGAAAAAGGTAATTGGGTTTCATTATCTTTTACACGTGTAACAAACATGTATTGGGTTTTGTAATATTCTCAAATGGTCACTCATACTGCGCAATTTGAAAGTCACAGAATTGAACCTGGATTACATGCTGCTCATGTTTTTATCATCTGTGAATCAGGTAACTCTCTCACATCAACATTTTTAGACATTAATAGATCTCAGCTTGGTCTTGGCAAGGTACTCTAAGAAGTTATGCTCCAACTTCCTGTGTCATCCCTCTGAAAGAGGCAGCAGAAGTAGAGTTGTAGTGGCTTTTCAAGCAAAACTGCAACAGCTGCTGCTGTGAATCCTGAGGAAACAGATCACAGACTGCAGAGATAGAGAAGCTGGCCCATCTTCCGTTCTAGCATGCCTGCAGTGGGAATGGTGACTTTCAGCAGTCAAGTTGGGGTCTGAGTCTGATGGCACACAAACCAGTGAAATTAATCTGCTAAAGCCTCCTTGCTAATAGGACCTTATTCCACATCCGCTTAATTCCAGTGTGTATTTGGATCCCCTCCAAAGAGAATGTTCAGGCAGAAACTATTTGTGCAAGAAGTTCCAGGCCCCCAGAGGGATTTTCTCTATTCCCTTATGAAATACTGAAGTTATCTTCCCTCCCTTTGTTTTCTGGTTCCTTTTTAATTCTCTGCCTGCAGGGTTTCCTGTTAGGGCCACTGCTTTTCTGCCTTCCAATATGAAGTTACTGCCAGCAGTCACATTCAGCCAGTCCAGAATCCTGGCAACGAAAACAGCAAGAGAGTCAAAGCCTTTCCTTCTGATGTAAATATTGTGGGGAGATTATAGGATCCCTCACAAGCAGTATGTTTAAGCATTTGAGACAGTTGGCTGATCAGTATACAGTCAGCTTTGAGAGCTCAGCAGCTGATTAGTCTGAAGCATATCCCCTTTTTTCTTATAAAATGCCATGGAATGTGTTGTTCTACCCATCAGCTATCTCCTAAGTCCCATATACAAGCAGGATATAATGAGCAGGTAAGGCAGATCAGTGGTGTAATCCAGGCTCTTCTGGATCTAACAGGCTTTTGCTGTGAATTTCTCTGGAGCATGGTTTAGGTCACAGTGCTCAATAGCTGTGAAGTTGAAGTTTTTTGTCTTCTCATGAGTTCTGTAGTAGTAAGGATTTAGTGTCATTGTTTTATTTAAAGCTTTCATCCTGAACTTATTGGTCAGAGTATAATTTTAAAAGTTAGTTGCAATATAAAATACATTAGCTATAATTAGTTTGCTTTTCTAAACAGTGACTGATGATACTCTTCTGCATTTTTAGAGCTGTGAAGGAGATACTCAGTTACTGTTCCTTCTGTCTTTCTTTTTGTTAAATGAACTTGAAGCTACCTTTCTTGAAGTGTTTGAATGAAACCTCTGTGCTTTTTGTAACCATCGTGTTGCAGCTGTAACAGTGTTTCTTGTTTGGTCTTTCTCTTCCCCAACACCTATCCCATTCTCACCCTGCAGATGATTTACAGAGGTGAAAAGCTGACTGTGACACTTTTTTTTGATGTAGATATTGATGAATGCAGAACACAGAATGGTGGCTGTAACCAACTCTGCCTCAACAAGCTTGGCAGCTACCATTGTTCATGCCTCAGTGGTTACACTCTTAAAGACAGCAAAACCTGTGAAGGTAAGCTTTGATGGGCCTCTCAGTTTGCTTCAGTGAATGCTTAGTGACTTGTGACTCTCATTTCCGAGAGCTGGGTAGCACTGAGCAGCCCTGTTCTAGTCCCTAGCCCAGCTACCAGAGACTTGCTGGTAGCTCCTCTTGGCTGAGTGCTCCAGCCAATGCTACATGCCTGGGCTTGTCAGCAGTCACACCATGCTACTTGCCAATATCACAACACAGACGTGATTCACAGAGGATTTGTGGCTTGGATTGTGCTAAATTGGTTTAGCCGATCGGTGCTCATCCTGACATTGAGAGAGGGAAGGGCTGGCCAAATGCGTTGTTATGATTCTTTCCAGTCTCATGCTGTTGTAGTATACCAGCCATTTGTTTTTCTTTTGTATGTTTCTTATTTTACTTTCTAAATTTGGATATATGCAGCAGCTAATGAATTCAGATAGTGCAGATGGATAAATTCACTGCAACTGAATATTAATAGCTGTAGAAAGGCCCTGGTGAAGGTTGGCAGCTATTTTACCTAGCAGCTGAGAACAGAAAGTGAGGATCTGAAGTATTTGATTGAAACTGCAGAATGAATTTACATAACCAAAACTTGAGCAACTGAGATTTTAGAAGTGTTAAGAAACAGCATGCTGAGGCAGACTCGTTAATGATCACAGATGGCTGTTAAAGGTATGTGCATCTCATGAAGAAACAGACAAGTCCGTGTATGTACGTTCTATAGGTGGATGTGATGACACGCTTGTAAACAGTTTGCATACCTGATCTGAACAACATCATTAATGCTACCAGCAAAAACACACAGATCAGGATTTTATTTCTGTCACTTTACATAAATGAGTTTTATTTATTTTATTTCTGTCACTTCCACTGTGAAAAGTGACAACTCTGTAGATTACGTGGTATTCTTTTCTAATGGCAGCAGCCACTTAGAAGAGCCAGCCTCACTTTTGAATTGTCCTCTGGTGCCAGTTGGCACGGGCAGGTGGATGGAGAGTGGGCTCACAATTACATCTGGTTTTATATGTGTATGTATTTGTATAATACCCTAGTACTGTCTGCTAGAGCACTGTGAACATAGTGTATAAGCATTCTGCAGCTTCAACATGTGACCCTCTGTTTGTGAGTTTACTGTCAGCTGTGGTTAATGCTGGCTGAGATTTATCATTGCATTTCAGTTTTCTTTCGGATTTATTCCTGTCATTATGCGCACATACCAAAGAGTTAGGTTTTGTCTGTTGATTTTTAGACTGTGCTACATAGCATACTAAACAGACTACCATCGGCCAGTTCCCTCACACATGGAACATGTAATTGTAGTTTTAACATGTCCTAGAAAGCAAAAGTAAATATTAAACTCTCAGTACACTGCAAATGTTTTGTCAACACCAGGATTTTCCTGGGTATTAGTTAAAATGTTACAAAAACACTTATTTGTTTTTATGGTCCTCCAGTTCCAGCCTACTGGAACTGCCTTCATGGTGAAAGCCCACATCTTTCAGACATAGAATCATAGAACAGTTAGGGCTGGAAAGGACCTTAAAAGATCATTACTTGTTCTCTGACAAACTGGGCTGCTTCAATTCCCCTTTGCCACTACAGATCAGAAGATTTAGACCTTAGTTTTGTGAATACATGAAAAATTACTGTTTACCTGTCTGAGGAAGGAGAAGAGAAATCTGTGATGCTCCACAGGCTGCATGTTCCTTCTGTGTTTAGGTAAACTGCATACTCGCTGTTCCTCACTTCCTGCTTTTTTTTCCGTTTGCTGCTTTTTCAATCTCTATTTTCTGCCCCTGAATGGAGTGGGGCTTTTTGGTTTTGTGGGAGTTGTTCTGTTTTACAGCTTTTCTCCTGGCTTGCTTTGCATTGATTTTTCAAGTAGTAGTTAATGGCTTAAGGAAAGAAAGACCAACTAGTTTTGAAAGCCTGAATTCACTTCTTACAGCTAGCTAACCTTAAAGGTAGAGTCTTAAAGATACTGTCTTCTTTAGTTACCAAAATAACAAAGGGCTCTCTTGACCCTGAACCCACTCCAGTGTGTGAACACGAAGTGATTGCACTCTTCTGAAGTCATGTTATTTAATTGCTTGTTTTGCAGACATAGATGAATGCGCAGCATCAGCAGACATCTGTGGAGAAGCTCATTGTAAAAATTTAATAAGTTCATATGAATGTCTTTGTGATAAAGGCTACAAGTACGATGATGTGAAAAAGACTTGTCAAGGTAAGGTCATGAAATAGCACCATGTTAGCATTTATTGCATGATTCAAAGCTGTAAGACCCCAGAAATTTAATTTCAGGCTTCAGTAAAAGCTTTTGATAAAAAAATCTTGCTTACACACTGGTCTTCTGTTCCCTTTCTGTAGCTGTGAGTTTGCAGTTTGCAGTCATCCTTGAGTTCATTGAGTTTACAGTCATTTTTGATGACTTGAACCAAGCTGTATGAGCCAGAGTACTGAGCTTTCTTGAATATATGACAACTACAAGACCTGGTAGAAGCTCAGAAGCATCTGTGCGTGTTGCTGTCTCTCTCTGTAGGACGAGAAAAGTTACAGAGCAGTAGCTGTTGTTCTTTCAAAACCTGTCTTGTGATATTACACTGAACTAGGACTTTAATATGCATTGGAACCATGCACAGTTCTGCTGGCTACACTGCCTGCAAGCTTTCTCAACCGAGTAAGTTTTGAAAGTGTTCCAAAACTAGCATTGTTCCCTGCCTTTTGTCTGAGTTAATATAATGACTTGAATCACAAGCCACCCAGCCCTACCGGGCTGTAAGTGTTTATCTCTGCCTGAAGAGATCCCTGTGGGCCATCACTATTTGTTTTCCTGCATTTATCTGTGAGAGGATAAAAACAAGCCAAACGCAAACAAACAAACAAAAAAAAACCCAAACCAAAACAAAAAAAAAAAAAAAGAGAAAAAATAATGAATGAGAAATTCAGCTTTTACTTTGTTGAGGATCCGGCTGCTGAGTAGCAATGAAGCAAGCAGTCCTTAAGTTGAACCCGAGCTGAAGGAGGCACAGGCATACCAGAAGGGGCATGAAGGGCGTGAAGGGAGGAGGTCTTGTCTAGAAGTTAGAGGCCAGGGCTCTGCACCAGCAGACAAGGAGTTGAGCTCTGCTTCCAGCCTTCCCACTGACTTGCTGTGTATATTTGGGCAGCTGGAATCTGTCTGTGAAAACAAATTTGTGCAGATGCTAATTCTAACCCTTCCCTCCTATAAAGATACAGCATAGGGTAAGTACTGGCTACAGAGCACTTGGCCATGCTCAAATGACAGGTGCTACAAAACAGCACTAATCATGGGGGTTTTTGCTCAGATGATTCACATTTAAGTTAACTCAATTGGTGTTTTCTCCTCTCTTACTTGCTGTTTTTGTGTAGATATAAATGAATGCGAAGAGAAGCTCTGTGAACAGACCTGTGTCAACTTGCCAGGGAGTTATACTTGTCATTGTGATGGCAGAGGGGGAGTAAAACTTTCCCAGGACATGAATACCTGTGAGGTATGTTGGTCTTCATTGCTGTAACTGCAGAACAGCCCTTTATTTTACATTGCAGCTAAGAATAAATGATGAAGCTCTGGACTAAAGCCATCTAAGCTGAGTGACCAGCAGGACAGTATCATATTGGCAAATTCATGTGAGCTGGTGACAGTAGTTCTCCTGAAAAGAAATTTCCTTCTGAAAGTCTCTCTTCTAGGCTCCTCCTGTCCCCATTCCAGAAAGAACATGACAGTGATAGCTGTGTCACCCTCTGTTTTGCTATGGCTGCACAAGCTTTTCTGATTTAGACCCAGTAGGACAGTGTGAAGGTCTCAGGGTGAATGGTGTAAGTTATGGACCAACACTTGGCACTTAATGTTTTCCTCCTCCAGGCATTTGGGGTGGATGGGCTTCAGTGGCACAGACTGCCTCTGCAGTAAACAACCAACAGCAAGTTCTTAGCATATGTTTTGTGGTGGGCATGATGCTGCAGTAGAAATTTTGTGCTGTGCCTTATGAGTATGATTTCATTTTGCAGCAGGAAAACATTCCTCCAGGGCAAATAGGGGGGAGGAGGGAAGGAAAGAGGAAATGTTCTCAGTACCAAAACAACTGTACGTTGAGAGTTTAAACATTAAAATGCCCTAACCTACTATGTGAATAGCAACTGCATGAGAAAATAAGAGGAGGCATACTCTGTGATTCTGTTTCTGCTGTGTGAGGAGAAAACTCAAAAAATATGTTTTGATTATAGAACATAATACCATGTGTGCCTTTTGCTGTTGGAAAAAGCGCTAAATCTATGTACCTGGGGAGGATGTTCAGCGGCGCTCCTGTCATCAGGCTGCGCTTCAAAAGGAAACAACTGACGAGGTGAGGACAATTTAGAATGACAGTCAAATGCGCCATCTGGCTTAATGCATGCAATGGAGTTGTTACAGTAACAATTAGTCCTGTCATCACCACTGTTTGTTTGGATTATGGAGTCCTGTAGGGCAAAACATTATCCAAACTAGTAATTGAGAAAGGCAGCCTTGACCGCAGAGCTCCTAGGATAATTGCTGAAGTATAGTAACGTATTCTTTATTGTTGACGCTATTTTAAAACCTGACTTCACAACTTAAGTCTTTCAGGAGTGCATTAAAAGCTAGTGTGTTTTAACAGAGCTTTGTAACTGCTAGAGTTGATACTATCTGTATGGAAAGTACTTTGTGGTTGTTGAACCCTGCGTAACTAATTTATTTCTTGGCACCTGTGCGGTCAGACTTGTGGCTGAGTTCGACTTTAGAACCTTTGATCCTGAAGGTATCCTTTTCTTTGCTGGAGGCCATCAAGACAGCACATGGGTAGTGTTGGCTTTGCGCAAAGGACGGCTAGAGCTGCAGCTGAAATACAACGGGATAGGCCGCGTGACCAGCAGTGGACCGGTTATCAACCATGGCATGTGGCAAACGGTGAGTCCAGACCACTGCTGAGATCTTGCCCTTTCTTGGCTGGTTCCTGATGGGCTCTGTGAAGTGCAGCTAGACCTTGTGTATTCTTGAGGAGATGGTTTTCCAATCTACCTATCCATTCAATGCATGCCAGTACCTTATACATTCTAAAGTGAGAGTGGGATATTTTTCTTAATAAATTGAATTACACTTTATATGCATTATAAGCTAGATTGCATCACTAATTTGCACAACCATAGCAGACACAGTGCCTTTGAGATGCAGCAGTGCTCAGCTGACTTCACATGAGTTTGAGAAGATGCCCTCTGTGTGAGGGTTGAAAGAGAGTAAGAAGGAAGGAACTCCAGCTGTTATTTTAAGGAAGTTTCAAAGGGTGTTTGGTGTATGTGTGGTTGCTTTTGTTTATTCATCTGTTTGTTTAGTCACAGGGCTCAGACTTGGCATGTCTCTTAACCTACCCTTTCCTTTTTTAAAGTCTTTTGGCTTGTTTATACACAAAATAGACTATTTTCCTTGTTAGGGAAACCTGAGGTCTATTAGAACCTCTCTATCTACTAACGCAATGCCAGCAATCTCATGATGCTGTGCATCTTGGAGCTTGTAAGGATTCATGTTCTTGACACCCTTGCAGAACATTTCCTGGTGATTCTGGAAGCATCATGGGTGCTACCATTTGTGACAGGATCTACAGTAGGTTAGCAATTTATATATGCCTCTTCAGTTCTGCCTTTTCCTTTCCTTTCATTTCTTTTACTTTGTTAGATCTTTTGACTTTTAAACTGATGTGCATTTTGGGGAATGGGTGGGAAATTCTGAGTAAACTCACATCAGAGACAAATACAGATACTGGTAACTGAAGAATTTTCTGTGAAAAAAAAAGTATAAAAAAATCAGAATTATGCATTACGGAAAAGAGCAAGGTGGGAAAATTTTGTTTCTAATGAATAAGTAAAGAAGTCCTTGAGTGAATTCACTGTCAACTACTGACATTTGGTAATGTTTTCAGCAAACAAGGTGATGTTTAATTCAGTTCAGTGAAACAAATTTAGATTCCAAATGGAGCGCTATAAAGATTCAGCAAAGCTGTGGATAAAATGTATGACATGCTGGATCCTTACAGGTAGGAATAGCCTCAAGCCACTTCTTACTAAATTTGTTGTAAGATTTGTTCTGCTGATTTGAAATATGGCAACTCTGATTGCCTGCACAGAGAGGATGGAGATGAAAATCGTGAAAAGCAGCATTGATGACACTGGGGTGACCTAGGAGTCACAAAAAACAGTTGTTACCAAGGTAAACCATTTAACATGGAGCATAACATACTTGCTAAATGCCAGACCTCATTATGATGTAATTACAAACTTTCCAATGCTAGTTTTGAGGAGACAGCTGAAATGTATATTTTTTTTTTAATCAAGCAACACAAAAAATGTTCAGACACATAGGAGTAATGGGGTAAACAAAGGCTGTGCTTCCTTTCTGCAGGGAGAGAAGGCAGTATGATAAAAGTAAGTATAATTTTTAGGCAAGAATTATTGGTCTTCTGTCAGCCATTAGTATCAGGGCTTTTATCCCTTGGTACTATCATAATGAAGAAATTGCCTGGCCGAGTTGCTGGAGTTAATGCTGTTAATGCTGTGTCTGATCTGGCTAAAGGCAGAAGGATTTACCCACAGAGGAACGCAGCAAGCAGAAGGAGACTTTAATCTCTTGACTTCATGGTTGACTCACCTCAGAGACTTGGGACGCTGCTTGCGTTGCTGGAGTGCTTTCTCTCTTGCTGGGGTGATTTCTCCTTTCTCTGTTCTAGTTTCTTATCCCTTGGCTCTGGCCTGCAGTACTTCGTTTCCTTCTGCTTAACATCCAGGGTCACCCCTGTCCCTAAATGCCATTTAATCTATACGGCTGAGCGATCCACCAGTCTCCATTTTTGCCCCCTCCCTCATTTTTCCTTTTTTCTCTGTCCAGTATTGCTTTTAATTTGGGAAATCCTGTGGGGAGGGGTTGCCCTTTTTCTACCTGTCTCCGTTCATAAAACATGTAGCCACACATTTCATTTTCAGTATAGACTTGTGTGTACTTTTAAGCCTCACCTTCCATGAAGAACCTTTAGAAGTCACAGTACAGACTCAAATTCAGTTTGTGAATTTTAGTCTGGACTTCAGTATGCACAGGATTAAGTACTTAGTTTTGATAAGACCTGGAACAATGGAGTTTGGATACTTGGGACAACTTTACAACAGTTGTGAGAAAATAGTAATTTTACTATTTAACTTTCAGCAGATGAAAAAAAACCAGTAGCTATCTAAAAGCAAAATGTGAGAAAAAACACGAGCAGTGTATGTTTTTCGGTCTCTTGAGCAAAAGTTGCATACTTTTACAGAAAGACGAAGGCATTTGCAAAACTTCAGGCCAATATTTCTACCTTGGTATTGTCTCTGATGTTGATCTTTCCTAACCTATTTTAAAATGATCATTCCCAGCATTCAAAACAGAAACAAGTAAGCCTTGGGAAAAACTTCTAATGTAGTTATTCATATGCAATCCGGCTGGGTGAAGTGGTACATATGAACTCATGATTGCAGAGAATGCAGGTTGGCCTTCTGTTTGTTTTGCATTTCCAAAAAAGTCATCATTTTGTCTTATTTTCAATGGTTAGTTAGTACTGCTCTGAGGACAGTATGGTTAGCAAAAATAGTAACTTACCTGCACTGTTAAATGTCAGAATTGAAGGTTAAGCAATCAGCAGCAGATTCCTACTTGGGATTAACCCTGTGGCTGCCGGTAGTCCCATCCCTTTTCAGTGCTTCCCACTTGCCTTTCAGCAAGGAGCAGACAGGCTGTCTGTGTGCTGAGTTATCCAGGGCATGAACCCGAAAGACAAAGAGCTGACTGCCCTTATGGCTAACCATATGGGAACCCTTAGCTACAAGAACTTGCATGGATTCCCCCAAGCATACTGTGGCAGGCTTCTCCTTACAACAAAAGGAGGGAATTAGAGCAACCTGCTAACAACCAGATTGCTTCCCCTTTTGGTTTGTAGGTGATGGTGGTGCACCAGCAATTAAATATAATTGAATATAAGGAACCCAAGCTGAAACTGCCAGAAGGCAGTGTGAAGCAGACAGAATGCAGTTTCCTAAACTGGAATGAGTTAAGAGTTTCCATAGGGATTAACCCCTTCTCCTATGGAAGTTTCCACTGGTTTGGGTTTGTTTATACTGATGATCAGAAGCAGCTAAGAACTTGGCCAAATTTGTTAAAATTTCCATGTTACTACTTTCTATACAATCTAATAAAATTTTAGAGGGCCCTGAAAGTTGCAGGATTTCTTCACAGCCAAGTATGGGATGGGCATTGCTGCAGCCAGCTTTTCCCCTTTCCTGTTTGCTCCACCGCTGCCCAAGATCTGTGCTAGGAGCAGGGAGATGGGCTGTGCCAGCTCCTTGTGGCACTCCATACCCCAGTGATTAGGGCAGTGGTGACAGTGCCACTGACGAGAGACATCCAAGTGAGATAGCCAGTGTAGCTGGGCTGTGGCTGCCAGGACTTGTGGTCTTCTGTTCCCACCCACAGAGTGGATGTTACAGCCTGCCAATGCCCAAAAAAGCCTGTTTGAGACTGGCCTGTGTGACTCCATGGAATGCAGTCAGGAGGTGTAGTTGCCACTTAAAACAAGGAAGCTTCAGACAAGTAAATTCATGTCCTGTAGGATACAGCAGAGAGCAACATGCCAGGTGTAAACAGTGTTTTAGCAATGTAAACCAAATGGTACTAGAATCCACAGGAGAAGAAAATGTTTGACAGTTTGAATAATCTTTTCAACTACCAAATTCACTTAATATTCATTACTGAAGACTGCAGTCCAGATTGAGTATCCAGGTATAAACCTGTTCAACCCTGCCATCCTTTGTTACAGCCACAGAGTGAGAGCTCAGCATGGCTGATTGATAGAAACAGTTTGGGGACAGCTGCTGTCAAAATGCTCATGACACGGCCTACTAGCAGAGAGAGGGAAGAACAGCCACTCAAGTAGATACTTGGTTCCATACAGTGGCTCACTGATGGAGGCAGTATCTGGGTGTCCTAGGGAACAGAGATGTAGAGGTGAAGAGTGAGTAGGTGGGAAGGAGTGCTGTGCTGAAGATTATGTTATAGCGGAGGTGCACTCCTTTCTTCTTCTCTACAGGAAGAAAGGGGATGTCTTCTGCTAGAGCCACAGAACACCCTGTCAGTAGCAGGACCCAGGTCCCAAGGCAGGAGAATCCATGCTGCTGTTTAGCATCTTGCTGTATGTCAGCTTTGTGCTTCACCTCCTCATCCATTGCAGAGCTGGCTGCTTTATAGTGCTCCTCTGTGCAGCCTGGTCATAATCACAATGATGATTTTCTGTTTTTTGAAATTTCAGTGGTGGTGGGATCTTCCTGGAAGTAGCTGTTAGAGACAGGGAACTAAAACCTACAGTGACCTTTTGAGAGAAAAATTATTGCCAATTACTCATTTTTATTACCCTCTCAAACATGACATCTTCTGTCATTCTTTTTTTCAGAGGTTAATATTCAAAGACTGTGGCTGGAAGGCTTCTGCATTCTCTTCCACTGATCCAATAAAAGATAGCTGTCTTTCCAGCTTTTCCTTTCACATGCATTTGCAATAGGAAGATTCTCATTAATAATTCCTTATTGCATTTACATTTTGTGTAAAGCAGCCTCCAAATGTCATGTAGTTAATCCTCTCATATTTTTCTGTGGCAGTTTTGAAGTAGCTAGGCTGTCTACACCATTACAGCAACCCCAGGTTGCTTTCTAGAGTAAAGATTTACATATCAAAGTGGGATGTAACTTAAAAGGTGGACAAAGAGGCTTGGGAACAGAAAATGTTTCTCTATCTTGGAGATTTCAGTGGTAGTGTCTGTGCTTTAGTTGAGGCTGCAGATATCAAGTTCTTTTTTATACTGAATTATTCTATTTGCAAATTTATTTTTCAGATCTCTGTTGAAGAACTCGAAAGAAGTTTGGTTATAAAGGTCAACAGGGATGCAGTTATGAAAATAGCTGTCTCAGGGGATCTGTTTACTCTAGAAAAAGGGCTGTATCAGCTGAATTTGACAGTAGGAGGCATTCCTTTCAAAACAAAGGACCTTATTCTACCGGTAAGTATAGCACTTGTTTTGCACACCTGAAGGGCTTGATTTCATCTTCTCTTGGGGTTATGTAGGTTCTTCCTGAGAGCAGTTCAGCCTGCCCTGAAACAGGTGGAATTATCACCTTCTGGATACAACTTTGTCTCCATTAACTATAGAGGGAGCCTAAGGCAGTAGCAAAGGTGAGACTCCTGTTTTTTGATTGTTAAGTTTGGGTGAGATGTGTCTCACCCTTTGCCTGCAGAATTAGGACGTACAAAACTGGAGCACATGACAAGATTACCAGTGGTGATGCTGGCTTGGAAACCCTGAGTGGCGCTGGGGTGGTCAGTGGACACACAGCTGTGTGAGGGTACCACTGTACCCACTAAGTCTGGAAACAATGCTGGAGCACTTTCTGTGTTGTGATCAATGTTTGTGCTTCACGTATATTGTATCGCAGGTTTGCTGCTTGCATTTGCTGTTTCAGTTTAGTAAGACCCAAGGAGAAACAGAAACCTATATTTTTTTTTATTTCCTCCTAATTCAAGGAGACAGGGCATATGAATAAAAGATAAGGTGCTCTTTGGGTGAGATCGGATGATTGCTGTGTTTCTGAAACAGCTGCTGCTCAGGCTGTTTTGAATGTCCACCACACACGGAGTTAGCACCTTGAAACCCAAATTGGCATCTCATTATTTCTAAATGAGGTGACAAGCTTGCGGTTCTGTGACTGTGAGTGCAGCAGCTGAGGAAGGCTCCTGTTCCTCACAAGAAGTCATTTAGGGCCACTGCTTGTCTGAAACATTAAACTTGGGGTGTGGTCTGCATATGGGATTGAGAGACAAAAACTCCTGAGGTTTTTCTCCTGGCTCATGCACTTAATTCTCTCTCTACTTCAATTAATTGGCAGTAACGGTCCTGATTTAGACGCTTTGCAAGGAGCCTTCTCTTTACATACTGTCTCACATTTTAATGCTGGAGTTTGGTACAGGATAACATAACTAGAAGCTGTAAGGAACAAGTGTGTATGGAGTGATGTGCATGTCCTGTGGCTCAAGCACCCCTCCCTTAAGCGAGAAGCCAACAACTTATCCTGTGATCAAGTTCAACATCTTGTGTGTCACGAAGGCTGTTTGCAGTGACACAAAGGACTGTGTTTTTTTACTTCAAGTTAGCCTCTAGAATTCACAATGCAAAATTACAGGAGTTACATAGCTTTGGCCACAGAGTTTTAGAAGTAAATCACCTAATGATGTGTATCATGTAGAGGAGCTAGCAGAACCAATACAATGAAATCAGCACCTGCATTAACTAGTGCCCTTCTGACCTGTGGAGACAAGCTGAGCTTAGGGAAGTTTCCTGGGAAATGCTGACCACTTACTTGCTTGGGTTTGCAGGAAGGGGATTGCCTCCAATCGTTATACATGAGCATAACACATCAAAATGATTTCTGCTGTTCAGTATTCCTCTGCACCCAAAATCGCTTATTCTTCACTGAACAGTAGTTTGAGTTATGGTATACTGCTTTGTCTTCCTAGATAAACCCTCGGCTGGATGGCTGTATGCAGGCATGGAACTGGCTGAATGGGGAGGACTTCACTATCCTAGAGACCATAAAGATGAATGAAAAGATGCAGTGCTTTTCTGTAGCAGGACGAGGGTCTTTCTATCCCGGCCGAGGTTTTGCTGTGTTTAATCTTACTTACAGTAAGTACGTTATATTTTTATTTCTGACCTGTTGTTCTGCCATTAACCATACTTGTTTAATAAGTAGTTTAAAACTTACATGTATATTAGACTCTGTGTTGATCAATGCAGAAAAGACTGGCAGCTGTGGATGGAGAGTAATAGCTAAACTTGTGGTTCATAGCAAAGGACGACCTACAAATGATGGTTAGAGCCAGTAACGAATATGCCTAGCATGGATTAGGTTCTCTTTGTGTAGCTCCAGTTATGCATTTCATACCCAGGCTGGTTCCAGCTCATCCTTAACATTAGGGCCTTCACATCTCTATCAGTAGTGCAGGTGGTTCCAGCCCTATTCACTATTTTCTGCTAAATAGGGAGGGCTGCAAGCTGTAGTGCTGTATCTTGAATTTCTGATGGACAGAAAATCATTATTGCCTGTAGCAAAATGTCTAGGATTGGATTCATTTTTAATCATTGTGTGGTATTAGTTACACCTGGGACAAACACTAAGCATATCCCTGATAGAAACTGCATAAAATTGGTCTAGATGTAGTAATAACAAGTTTCAAACCAAGCTTGGCTATACACTGAAAGCACACTGAAAGCCACCTTTTCTTTGTTCTAGATTATTCTGTTTGTTTATATGTGCAATCAGCTGTCAGTGTTTTGAAAGCTGTACAAATGCCAACCATCTATTTTAGTTTGGTGTGTAAATTCTTCTGTGCAGAAGCCTTCTGTGCATCATTATGTGGATTTTTCTGCTGTGCCATTGTAAATTAGGGAGTATCAGGTGTTTGTCATCTCATTTAACACATGGATTCAACAGCTACAAAGTAAAGACAAGGCGGCATCTAAAGCACAAATGACGGCACTCAGCAGAAATGAGGCCTCAGCACCTGCATTTTCATATCTTTGTTTCTAGAAACACAACCCTCTATTTGGTGCTTTGTAATGGTAAACTTTATAAAGAACTTATTGTTTTGTATTTCAAGATGTGGTGAATGAGCAAAGCTAATACTCCAGTGAAGGGAGGCTGCAGAAGCAGGATTGAACTCTTTCTTTGTAGCAGCATCACCTTTTAAATCACAAAGGCACTGCAGCAGCAAGAAGGATGCCAGAAAGTTTAATTCAGAGTTCAGCCGGATGTGATAAAACATCCCATGTTTAGCTTCTGAGGGGGCTGGTGATCAGGCATTGATTAGGTATGTAATCAGTGTAGTGGGCCTATATCCTTTTTCACTTTGTTTCCTCTGTGTCAGATTTGTGCTTAGATCCCTCAATGATATTTGGACAGTCAAGAACAATTAAAAAATTGGGTGCCCTGTCTTTTAACATGCTTTTGGATATATCGGATTAACAGCCACGGGATTTTGAATCTCTTGTGTTAAAAAAGCTTAACCTTATCTTTTGACATTTTGAAAGGTAGCAGAATGCAGAACGTAACAAGAGGAAACCAATGACATTTTCTTCTCTGATTTTATGTTCAGGTGCTTTGGATTTTTATTTTTATTTTTTAAGTAAAATAAATGTGGCCATCCCTCCATATGCTCATTCATCTATCCTCCTCTCCTAGAACTGCACATTCTACCCATTTGACTTGTTTGTCCTGTGTTCGTCATGCTACGTATCTCTTTTTCTGCAGTGCAACCTATTTCAGGAAACGAAACGAAGACAAGTTGGGAAATAGAAGTAAATGCTGTAATTCAACCAGCAACAGATACTGGTGTGATGTTCGCTCTTGTTACGGAAGAAGCATCTGTCCCTTTATCACTGTCTCTGGTTGACTATCACTCCACAAAGAAACTGAAACAACAGGTACAGATGTAAGCATTTTTCTAGAGAGGGTTCCTTGTTGCATCCTGGCAATCAATAGTCATTTTCAAAAAACAGTTGTCAGTTGTAAAATTGGTCTAGGTCTCTTGGGTGGAACTGGTCTCTTGCATGCAGGCATATTTTGTTACTGTTTTCTCACACAGAGCTGTTTAATGCCATAAGCATAGAAATTCCATTCTCTGGAGCTCATCCAGAGCTCCAAAATCAGTTAAGTCCCAAAATTTCCAAGAGACAGCCTTTAGGTTTCACTCCAGGTGCTGTGACAGGCCAGTTATGATAGAGTCCTGCAGCTACTGATTTAATGGTATTCATAATAAACGGCTAGATTCTGGCATTAGACAAGTGTAAGCAAGAAATGAGTTCACAAAAACCCATGAGCCAACTTTTCATTTGTAGTACAGCACCTCTAGTGTATTTGGTTCCAGTGCAATATAACATCTTGTAAGACCCCCTAAGAATTGTTTCTGAGAAGACAGTTGGTTATGTCTTAATAGTCCCACTGGAACATTGTTTTTTTTTATCTATACTAATGAGTTCAGAACACAATCCACAATATTAATAAGACTAAATCTCTAGTGGCTCTGCAAAATCTTTGTAAAAAAGGCCACAGTGGGGCCATCCTGGTCTTGGATATGCATGGCTAGGAATATTTCTGCTCACTGCTTCTTTTTCCTTCTTTTCCCTGCTGTCCAGTATATCATTGTGGCCTTGGAGAATACAGTTGTGTCCAGACTGGCAATAAATCTTTGTGATAAGAAGGAACACTCTGTGGACATCTTCGTCAAGAAAGATCACTTATCCCTGAGGGTAGATGGGATAGCAGGAGAGGGTGAACTAAGCATCTCTGAGTTAGAGGATAGTCTATCCATCTTGGAGAACTCTTTGCAATCAACGGTGAAGACATACTTGGGAGGATTGCCAGGTGAGCATCCAGTTTTGCAGCATGGACTACAAACTCCCAACCCACCTTGCTGAGCTGGCAGTCAAGAAAACTGTCTCAATCCAAGCTGGAAGCCTCCTTCTCTGTTTCTGCTTGAGTAGGCTTTGCAATTCAGGCACGTGTTCTTAACAGGTGTGAGGGTGCACTTGGCAATTATCTTTTTTCCTGGAATGAGGGTGTCCTTCTGTGGACATCTGAAGCCAAAACAGAAAGAGGAGGTTTTGCTTGGTCAGCAATAGGAATAGTTTATCTGAAGAATAGTTGCAAGCAGGTTCATTATCCTAGACCTGATAAAACTCATAGGAGCTAGATCACAGGCTCCCGCAGTGCTTCAATAACGTAATGAACATGTGTGAGTGCTCCCTGTGGGGAGTACTAGGGCCTCACATTGTTTTGAGTGAAACCAGGGAAGCCCAGTGTGGCGATTCTTCCTGGCTGATGTTCTGTTTGAACTGATCACAGCACTACACAATTAACAGATTTCCTCTCATGAGAGGGTATGTAGAGCCACAGCCAAAGGGCTACCACCATTTATAGCTTTGCTCGTCGGGTTGCTCTTCTGTTCTGAATCTGGAAGATCAAACTTTCATCTGAATCATGAATTTTGGCCAAGCATGGGGGCTTGTTTCTTTTCTGGGTGAACTGGTTTATCAGTCCCTGCTGCTGAGAAGTGCAATTATGAGAACATTTGCGTCTCTGATGAACAGCAGTACATCCTAATTTGTTGAAAGCAGCTAAGCAAAATCTTGCCCCTACTTGCCCAAGCAAGGGAGAGGCAGCAGTGTTGTCTCTTGGTAGGCACCGAAGCAGCCAGGCTGGAAAAGGGTGGCTGAGGTGCCATGTGTGCTTTGACACATGGCGTGACTTTCCCACCATGAACAAGAGTTTACAGAGCATTCATGCCAATAATGTAAGTAGCATCTAGTCACACCTAAAAGGGGGAGGCCACACACTCTGGGATGTTCACACACAGGCAGGAGCAAGGCTGAATCCCCAAATGTGGCATTTTCCTATGTCAGATTGAATTGAACTGGCCATTGCACAAGCAAGAGAGGTCACCTGCTTGCTTTCAAATAGTTCTCATGTGCACTGCAGATACTTTCACAGCTCAGAAGACAATTCCACTTGTTCCAAGTTCTCTGTGGTTGGCTTAATCTAACTTTGCTGGGTGAAGCACAGGTTTTAATTAGCCAGAACTAGGTGCAAGATATCATAGCTGACTTCTGTAGGCTTAGCTACTGCCCATTTTCAAACTGCGCTGCTCAGCAACAGGAATTTCTGCCTGTGGTCTGCTTTTGTCATTGAGAGGAACCCAGCACTTGCATCAAGAAACCTTGTAACTTGCCAAACAAATAAATATTTCAGCACTTTGGTTGGATTCATCACTCTGGGTTAAATAACTGTACCAAATGGTCAAATCTAAGTGAGTTTGGCTTACTGAGATTTTGAAAACATTACGTTGGTTTTGGCTTTTTCCTGCTCCTGTACCCTGTGGCAAAAACAAAGTATAGTGGTCACACTTAATGTCTTTATTCCATTTGCCACAAATAAAGAAAGATAGACTGTCCCATCTTAAGTACAGGTAATACTGCAGATGTGGAAGAAATAATTTACAGTTTTAAGAGACAAGAGGGAATGTATAGGCATTTATTACATTTTCTGTGGTATTTTCAGTTCTGGTACATCCTAAATTATATAATTTATATGATGCATAGGTGTTTTTCCAGGTAATATTTATACCACTGGGGGAAGGAGCCTGTAAAAAAGGCTTCTGAGTCTTTTTTCTTTTAATTATTTTTGGTAGTATCTTACGTATCCTTCTCAAAGCCCACACATGTAACAGCAGTCTGCATGGTTCCTTAGGTGAGTGTTCAAGCCAACACTTCAACTTCTTCTGAGTCAAAATTCAGTTTACATTCATGTGAGTACTCCAGCCAAGGTGTCCCCTTCTCTTAAGCAGGCTTCACGGATGAAATTTGGTAAAAGGGGAGGAATAACAAATGGCTGAAATGACTAGTTTAAACAGCTACCAAGCAATGGTACTTTTCAGCCATCAAGCTGGAACATGTATAGTATTTGTGGCTTAGGGATCCCATGCAATTTTCATTCTCTCATTCAGTCCTAGGATCTGCCTGAGCTGTGTTTGATCACATCAGCTTCAAACTTGGCCCTGCATTCTCTTGCGGCAGAGCCCTTAAAATTGCACATAATCTGGGGTCAATAGGACAATCTATTGTTCCAGTTGCCCTTGCTTCAGGGTAAAGATAAGGGGCTTACTTAGCTACCTGCATTACTGTGAAGTTAAATAATCTTTGAGATTTCATTGGTTTCCATTGCACAACCAGCTTGACTGGGTTGGGTTTGGGTTGTAAATAAACTAATAACCTTTGGGGAAGGGTAGAGGACACAGTTCGTGTAATTTTTCATGTTACTATTTTACTGTGTGGGGTTTTTTGTTTCTTTAAATTCAATGTGAATGTGACATTACAGGAGTTGGTAATAAGATTTACTGATTTCCTCTACTCTGTTGGATTGTATTTAATGTCTTCTTTCCTATTTGTTTTTCTGCCTTTGGGAAACTGATTAAAAATATGTCACTAGTGGATCTCCTTAGCAAAAATTAGTCTCATTAGTCTTACCAACTCAACTGATGTATTCCAGCACCTTTCTGATGAACGCCAGCAACCTCCTTGTGCTGATACATAGCAAAATCACAGTAAAGATGAGTCTGCTGAGTGGTAGTGGCTGTCTATAGGAAAAGCCTTCCTGTCATGAAGTTCTTCCAATAATTTTTCGGCAGGTATTTCGGAGAGATAGAGAGAGGATGAGGGGAAGATATAACACTGCACTGTTGACAAAGAAGGACCCAGAGATAGAGGGGGGAGAAACACCGAGACAGAAAGCATCGTGAACGCAGTGTGCAACTGGAGTGAAGCCTTGCTGCAGTGCAGCACATAGTTTTATCAGGACTAGAGGATTTACAGAGACAAAGAGCAGCTGAGGAAGGCTTCAGCCTGGGAGAAGGGCTTTTGAGCACTAGAGCAGATGACATTTCCACACATCTGGCAGTGTGCTCTTGCCTTTTAGTGAGAGGGACAGGGGGGAGGTAGAAATCCCAGCGTGGAGGAGAGCTTGAAACTATACAAGTGACAGTCACCTGAGCATAGGTAGGGCAGGTATTTATTCAAAAGCCGCCATCAGAGATGTGTGTCTTCCCTTTCATACAGATGTTCCTGTCACTTCCACTCCGGTCACCGCATCCTACCATGGCTGCATGACTGTCAAGCTGAGCAACAAGGCACTGGACTTAGACGAGGCTCTCTACAAGCACAGTGACATCACCTCACATTCCTGTCCTCCAGTCGAGGCGGGTCAGTAGGTACCACTACAATGCGAAGGTTTTATATTCAGAAACTTTCAATGCTTTTCTTTTTTTTTAAAGATATAAATTATTCTGACCTACCGCACTGCGTGTATAGTTTCTCTTAAACACTGAAGTTATGTAGGAGCTACTGATCCTTGTGTCAGATTGATTATTGAAATACTCCTTTGCTTTGAGGTTTAAAGGTTGTAATATATTTGTAAATAGTTTGGAAGACTAATGTTAAATAAGTCAAAAGTACAGAATATACCAGAAGTGAATGTTATCTTTAGTCTGTAAGAGACAGTTTTATCTGTAATGTGGAAAACCTGGTAATATATGAGTGTGGACTGGAAGAAAAATAATAAATCTGTATTATTTTTTATTATCAAACACTGCTTTCTGATTTGCAAAATATGAGAGAATAAAATATTTACATACAAGTTTTTAATATATCTGTTCTGAGATTATTCTGTATTCTGTTGGTTGGACATAATGACTCAGGCTATGTCTGATGTGGAGATTACACTGGGTGGTTGGTTATGGGTTTTTGTTTGGAGGTGGGGTCTTTTTGTGTTTGTGTCAGTATTAGGTATCTTCTGGGCTGGAGAGCAAATGGTTGCTGCTGTTCTCATTGCTATTTTGCTTATTAAGCAAAAAAGAGGCTATATTGCTTACTGCCTCTTTCTGGTACCATAGATAGAAGACCCAGCTGTGACCTTTAGAAAAACTCTTGGTCAACGGAAAACAGAAAACAGAGTTGTGCCATCAGGAAACAATTAGTAGAAAAGACTCAATGAATTGAAAGCCATATGGCTTTTGTGTCAATAACTGCTAAAGCAAATGATGAGGTGTCAAGAACTGGAGAATATTATCTGGTGATGACATATTTTTGCTGCTCAATTTTTAGGTTGGCTCATTCACTGTGAACCTACTGGGAGCAGAGAGGCTTGAGAGCGTGAGAGTTAGCCAGGCCAGATTGCAGTGTGGTGAGAATATGCGTGGGGGTTTACTCAGGAGAGGTTGTAGAGTCATAAAGTGTATTCACATTTGAAGCTATCCTTGTGAAGCTGGGGTAAGATTTGCTTAGTCTGCTTTGAGTCCCTTAAGTCTTGTTTTGCTTGGTCCTTGTCTTGCGTCAGATCAATGAGCTGAGAGAGATAGGCATATGCTGTGTTGGGAATTCGAATACTGGGTTGATAAGTTTATCCCATGCTTCAGAGGGTTAACATAGAAAAGATCTAATTCTACAGGGTCCTTTATAAATTTTTCCTGGTTATTCTACATCATGTTCTGCCTCATCAAATACAGAGATGACAGATTACCTTAATAATCCAAATGTGTGACATCATCTGTGACCACGCTATGGACATACATGTCCCAGAGGAAAGGATGGAAGAGGGGGAAGACTATTCCAGACATATTGCTGGTAAGGATCCCTGCTTTATTTACCAGAGAAGAGGATGGTACTCTACTAGCCATTAGCCAGTATGGCATCATAGCTCTGTATTGTGAGCATATCTGTCAGCAGTAATGCAGTAAGGCAGAAAAGATCAGAGCTTCATCACTTTCAACTTGTTTACACTTACAGAAGGACATGTCAAAAGATGCTTTACACTCAGGTGTGACCAGATGTAAGTTTGAAAGGATAGTTGCTCACTAGAGAGTAGTAACTTACTGTGATCCTGTCCCTCTACTCTTCTCTCATGGGACCTCACTTGGAGTATTGTGTGCAGTTCTGGTGTCCTCAGCATAAAGAGGACATGGAACTGTTGGAACAAGTCCAAAGGAGAGCCACAAGGATGATAAGGGACTGGAGCACCTCCCATCTGAAGATAGGCTGAGAAAGTTGGGGCTGTTCAGCCTGGAGAAGAGAAGGCTGCGTGGAGACCTCATAGCAGCCTTCCAGTATCTGAAGGGGGCCTATAAGGATGCTGGGGATGGACTCTTCATTAGGGACTGTAGTGATAGGACAAGGAGTAATGGGTTCAAACTTAAACAGGGGAAGTTCAGATTGGATATAAGGAAGAAATTCTTTACTGTGAGGGTGGTGAGGCACTGGAATGGGTTGCCCAGGGAATATGAATGCTCCATCCCTGGCAGGATTCAAGGCCAGGTTGGACAGAGCCTTGGGTGAGATGGTTTAGCGTGAGGTGCCCCTGCCCATGGCAGGGGGGTTGGAACTAGGTGATCTTAAGGTCCTTTCCAACCCTAACTATTCCATGATTCTAAGTAGTTCTATGTTTTTGCTTCTTTTTAATTGAGCAAGGGAAACCACATTATTCCTGAGAGTGCTTTTTTTTAGAGTTGATGGCTCTTGATCACTTGTAATATGACGGAGAATGCAAGGAGCATTAGTTTAGCATCTCCAGTGAGAGCTGGGAATCCTGAAGATACTGTGGTTAATAGCACTTCCACACTGCAGTGTTTTGTTTTCAATGTGTTTTTCTATGGTTATTTTAGTCCTTTACCAAAATATATCCCTGTGCTGGTTTTCCCTGGGATAGTGTAAATTTTCTTCATAGTAGCTAGCATGGGGCTGTATTTTGTAAACAGGGTTGGTAACACAGGGATGTTTCAGGTACTGCTGAGCAGTGCTTACACAGAGTCGAGGCCTTTTCTGCCTCTCACCCCACCAGTGAGCAGGCTGGGGGTGCACAAGAGGTTAGGAGGGGGCACAGCTGGCACAGCTGACCCCAGCTGACCAGAGGGATATCCCAGACCACATGGCATCATGCTCAGCATATACAGCTGGGGAAAAGGAAGGAAGGGGGACGTTTGGGGTGGTGGTGTTTGTCTTCCCAAGTAACCATCACATGGGATAGATCCCTGTCCTGGAGATGGCTGAACCCTGCCTGCTGATGGGCGATAGTGAATGAATTCCTTGTTTTGCTTTGTTCACATGCACAACTTCAGCTTTCCCTATTAAACTGTCTTTATCTCAACCCCTGAGTTTTCTCACTTTTCTGATTCTCTACTCATCCCACCAGAGGGTAGTGAGCAAGTGGCTGTGTGGGCCTGAGGTGCTGGCTGGGGTTACACTATGACAATCTCCCATCTTTTTAACTTGGAGTAGCTCTAAAGAAAACAGTACAAACCTAGAAGATGCCTATTTTTTAAAGCAAGTAAATGAAACAAACCCTGCTTCACTTTGTTCTTTTCAAAGGAAGCATGTTAGCAAAATAGTCTTGTGGCTGATAATTTTGTCTAATTTCTGGGGTAGTTCCCAAAAAAACTACCATGTGGCATAAATGAATCACAAACATGTCTGACCTTTGTGTTAGTGGTACTGTTTCTGAGGCCAGAATTACTTTGGATCCTGGAAACATGAATACTGTGGTAGAGTATGGTACTTTGCAGTTTCAGATGTAATACTATGTGAACAAGACTGCAACTGCATTTTCTAAATCAATCAAATTCAGAGCAAAAATTTCTCCAGGACTTTGTACGTATATGCATGTATGTGAAGATAATTTGCATAGACCAAAATGTACCCTGACCCAAAATGTGGTTTATAAGAGAAAGCCAGAATTTGTAAATCTGGACAATAACAGAAAGGGGATGATATTTCGTGTCAAACTGGATTGTTTTTGATACTCTACAGCAGACCATGCTGGAAGAAGAGGTAGCTGCTTCTATAGACCACTGAAAAGAACAAAGTGATAAGCATTCCTTTGTTCCTTCTCAGCCGCTGTGCTCCAACCCAAGGCAAACATTGGTTTCCTTTGTGTTCCGTTACCAGGCTAGGTGCTCAGCTCAAAGGGAGCATGCTCTGGGCTTTGAGACACCAAAATGAGCCCAGGTGGTTCCCCCGTTAGCATTCATAGCAAGTAAATCATGTAGTTCCAATTACATAAAGGCCAGGGTGACTGTGCTCTTCACAGCATGCATTTGCACAAGGACTGGGCATTTTGGATGTGTTAAATTGATGTTTAGAAGAAAAAGAAAATTAATGGTCTCCTTTCTGACTTTTGTTCCTCTCAACCAGGTTCATATAACTCACCTTTGTCAAGGATACATGTAAGGTACCTTGGGCCTGATGTTAATACCACTGGCCTAAAATTGTGCATCTCAGGAAAAAAACTTAATTGAATAAAATATGGCTTTTATGATCCATACAAATTAACCTTTAATCTCATGTGTACTAATACTGAATCTGCTCGCTATACATAGAGGTACAGCACCTAAATTCCACCTTTTCTTGAAAGGTGGAAAGTATTATGTCAAAGGATGATCACTCTTAGTTCTACTTTCAGCTGGTCTGAAGGTGTCACTTCCTCTCAAAAGAAACTCTTAAGTAAGCTGGTTTTGTTTATATAGGGGTTTTTAATATTTTCATAATATGAAGCAGGTGCTTAGAAAGTTAACGAGAAATAACTTTCTTTCCCTGCTCTGCTCTTTGGTCTTTCAGGAAATTTCTATGGCTTCATTGTTGTCTAGACTGTAAGAACTATATAGCAAGCAGCACCACCACCCTTCCTGCAGGAGCAAAATGCAGTGAAGGGATGCAGCAGTCTGATGGATTTTCCTGCTGGTATAGCCACTCCTGCCCCAAAACACGGCAGCTGTGTGCTAAGAGGGATCCCAGCTAACGTGATGCACAGTAAGGGGGCAGGGCGCACACAGCAGGGACAAGACTTTGTTCTGTCAATGGCACTGCCACAGGTATTGCTGCTTAGCCGTGTCGATGTGTTTTTGTTTCTACACTATAGGAGAAAATGTAAAAAAAAAGAGGGAGGAATTCTGACCCTCCTTATGTTCTGTTTCAGCCATTGCAAAACACCTGGATCAGGCCTTGATCAGTTTAAAAATAAATAACTGAGGTTTAACATACACTTGGTTTGGTTCCTATTTTGACGAGAAATGAATTAAATCAAACACATGCAGCTTAAAATAACTCTCTGGAAACTGCACCTTTAGCACACTGACATAATCTTTTACTCCGCAGCTGGACTGGCCCAAAATTCTTTCTGTTTGAAGCTTGAAACTACTTGGTACTTTTTCCTCTCTTGTTTTCCTGTCCTTACAAATATACACAGTCTTAGGTTCAATATAAATATACACAGCCAATTTTATTGGAAAATAATTGCCACACTTCTTTATTAGTACAACACTTTCACCAAAAACAGTTATTAAATAAATACTACAAGCAAACAAAAACCTGGTCTCTTCCTACTCGAAATGATTGCCTCAGAGAGCACCTGACTACCCACTCAGACAACACAGGCTAAACCCCTCTATATCGGTTTAAGAAAGCAGAACGTGTTTCCAGAGAGTATCCTCATTTCTCGTCTTGAAGAAAAGTTATTCTGCAGTGTTCTGAGAAGGAAACACTTCATGCCAGGAAGCAACGCTGCATTTGACTGCAGGCAAAGTGGGTGGTGACTGATCACCCCGCTGTGATGTGCCTGCCCTTAGGTTTCCAGGTTTCTGCTCTGCTCACAGTGAGATGTGGGTAAAAGCAGAGTGGCCGTAACACACTCTGTGGTGGGTTCCTTGGGATGTCAACTGCCTGTACAGCAGAGTTTCCAGAAGTTTCTTAAAAATCAAATAAAAGCCTACCAGCTACCTAAAATAAATTCTTTATTCTATGGTGCATATGGTGGAGGCTTTTCTCCAGGCAACAAGTAAGTCGGTGTATAGAGGGCTGGAGCATTGGGAGGAAGACCATAGCTGGAGCTGGACTGAGATGGAGGCTGAGTTTCTTCTGATAAAGAAATGTCAGTAGATGATGTTCCTGGAAAATTGCTGGTGGGCTGCATATAGACAAAGAAAAACACCTTCTTCAGTAAAGGATTACAACCCCGTTTGCAGCTCTGTGTGAACAGTTTGCCATGTAAGTGTTATATAATAAGCCCCACGATTAGATTTCTCATGCACTGCAGCACAACACTCACTTCAGTTTTAAAGTATAGCTTAAGTATAGAAACGATGGTGTCGAGTGAAACACAGATTCCATCTGTAACCCAAGTCTTTTTTAATAGACATTGCACATACAGCTAGGCACTAGAGCAGAACAGGAATTTCTGCAGGAAAAGATGCTCTGGCTCCCTGGCTGAGGCACTGCACCTGCCTGGCTGATTAGGTTACATGTAGCTGCTTGTCTTCAGGCATCCCTGTGAAATTTCAATTATCTCAGAGGTAATTAATCTCAGCTATAATACTTGCATAAAAGCAAGGTCTCATTCCTGTGCCAAATGCAGACTCCTTGTAAAAGAAAATTTTAGAGGTGGGTCTCCCTGTAGGTCTTTCGCTCTGGCTGTCTCAGCTGTAATGGGGTTTTGGCTGAAAGAGTCATGAAAAATAGAGCTTAGGAAGCAGCCTATGCTCAGGAATAAGCAGTTTGTTAAAACAAAAGGATGCACGTAGGGACTAATGTTCTGGATAAAAACCTAACACTACTTTAAACCAAGTTTTGTCATTGATTTCAAGAGGGTCAGGATTTTGCTCTTCCTCTCTTACGACAGCACGTGCCAGTCCACGGGCTTCACCAGAAGAGCTATGCTCAGCTGTCCTCGGGTTCAGGCCTAAATTGCCCAGAATTTAAAAAAACAAACCAAAACAATAGCAGTCATGGATCTTTTTCAGGGAAATGAAAAATTCAGGCAAATGCTCCCTGCTGCTAAAAAATATATATATATAAATTAAAACCCACCATTTAGAAGCCAGTATAAGGGTTGGCACTTGGACAATGGCATCTCAAAGCTGCCCAGGGCCAGCAGACCCTATGCGATGGTGCACAGCTTCTTCATTGGGCTCCAGGTGAGCAGGAGAGGAGAATGCTGCCCTGCATTTATACCACAGGGTGACTGGTGAGTGAGAATGGGGATGTCTTGACAGGAAGGCTGACTGTGCCCTTTAACTCTCCAGGAGGCGGTGCAAAAATACTGACAAACCTGTTAGCTAGATCAGCTCCAGCTGTTGCATTTTTGGGTGGTTTGGCTTTTTTTTTCTTTTTTTTTTTTTAATTTATTTATTTATTTTGGAGTTGTTGCTTCCCTACACCTTCAAACTGCAGCCACTGTTTCCATCTGTCTGCCTGGAATAGCTTCTGTAATGAGTTCTCTGGCAGGAATGACTGGCACAACAACCCTTACTGCTGTCATCACTACCAGTCCCTGCACAGCTAACCATTTACCTGACCAGTTGGCAAGTCTGTTACCAAGACTAGTAGTGACTGAACTGCACTAGTAAGGGATGAATGATTTTGTTAGCACATGCCATCGTAAACAAAAGAAATGCTGGTTAAATCCTTGTCAAATGCATTCCTGTTATCACCCTTTCTATTCCGAACTTGGCTGATTTCAGCTTGTAGACAAGGAAGAATGAGGTGAACAGAGGAGCATTTACCACCAGCCCAGGTTGTGATTCTTTAAAAGACTCTTCCTCTCCAGCAGAAGTTTATTCAGTGAGATACTGGATTTAGCAGAGGACCTGCAATAATCTGCACAATGCGGGAGCCACAGGTGAACTCAGGTGTATAGCCTTTGAGCTAATGGAGCTTCAGCCCTTGCATGCAGAGCAGCACTCGCGCTAGGTGTGTTGCACGCCAGACTAATCCGAGGCCGGATGTATCCCCAGGAGGAGAACTATGACTGTAGATTTCCTCTGGTTGAGGGAAGGGTTCAAACTCCAGTTGTTAGTTGGTAATTAATTGCTAACAACTTTATTTCATTAACTCACAAATCAGGTAACTACCTGATCTCATTATCAGGCACCACTAGATGCCTACATGCCAACAGCCCCTGCATTTAGCCAAATGAATTCAAGCCCTAGGGCCTGTAGTTGCCTTAAGGACTAGGACCAGCTGAGTAGGGCTTGTGAAGACCTGAATCTAGGAGCTGGGCACTGCTTGGAGCACTCAGCTCGCAAGTAATGGGAGCAAATGATGATTAAGTTTCTGGCTGTTACTTACCAGGCCTACTTCTAACATTCACCATTTCTGGCTCTGGGTAAGTTTGATTTTTTTAATTTATATACTGATGCAGAAATTATTTCTCTCTAAAGTACAATGTAATGAGCTCATACATGCAGTAAGGCAGCTTGCTCCATCCTTCTCCCCACCCCACAAAAAGGATTAAATGCATTCCCTTCTGGAGCCCAGTGCTTCTTGCTAACCTCTCCTGGCATGGGGACAGCTGGTGGTGCCTGCCTCTGAATGTTTTGAAGGTGAGAAAAAACAGCTGAACACAGTTTTTAGAATAAGTAGAAATCTAGGTGAAGAAGTGTGTTTATTTTGGAATGCAGTTAAGAATTTGGGGTAAATGTGATACTGGAAACATTTCAGTTTCTCAGTGGACATAGGGCTGAACAGTTACAATCGATCCTCATGACTACTTACATGCATCTTTTCAACTTAATTGTTTTCCTTCATTTGTTTCTATCCCCTTCTCTCTCTGCTCTTGGCTACGTGCTAACTGAACTCTGTGGAACAGCACAGCTTTTAACTAAAAGCAAACAAAAAGAAGTGTTCTATTTTTCCTCTCAACCCATGGTGTCCAAAAGCATCTGGCCCCATTTATGTTAATAAGTAAGACATGCCAAGGACTGTTCTCTGGCTGTGAACCCAACTGGCACAGTACATATCGCAATCCTACAGCTGAACCTTTACCACAAAAACAGTATGCTGGGGTTTTGTTATCACATGCCATAGTAAACAAAAGAAATACTGGTTAAATCCTTGTCAAATGCATTCCTGTTATCACCTGTTACCATACAGTCTGTATGCACACTGTCTACTGGGAATGATCCATTGCTTTTGCCATCTTCTGACCCCTTCTTGTGTGTTGCTGGGAGACTGTTAGATGCTCTGGGCCAAACCCACACCAGGAACATGCTAACAAACCACTGGTGTGGATCATCATCATGGCTCCTGAGAGTTTGAAATGAGGCAAGGACAAGATCTATCACTGCAGTGTGTACTGAGTAGCAGCTTATGCTTTTCTGATGGAGTAAGAAGGGTGCCATTTTGTACTGTACCTGAAGAGGCAGTGGGTAGGATGGATATGTAGATATAGCTGCTGCAGAAGGACAGAACCCAGCGTATGTCAGGATCTGCTGGGCAGGATTGTACAGGATCTGAGGAGGAGGTGCAGTAGCACTGAAAGCAATCTGGGACAGAGGTACCTGTTGAGCACAGAAGACAACAATATATTAGCACAGTGCAGAGGGGGCTGGAGCAGGAGCTAGTCCTAACACCAGCAACTAGGCAATTTAACAACTTTCTGTTTTCAGACACAGTACTGGTATTACAAAGAAAAAAACCAAACCCAAGGAGCAGACAGAATGAGAGGGAGGTGTATCTGGAGTGAATTTTCTGACCAGAAATACACAGCTATTTTAATCTTTTTTTCCTTGGAAAAAGACTGCTGGTGCTTCCCAAGCACCAGTTATGGAAGCACTGGCAGTACTCCAGACCTAAGTCACCCTGAAGAGCACAGCATACAGCTTTGACCACCTCTCTTATTCGCTCCAGCACCAAACATCCAGTCCTTCATGATTTGCTGCAGACCCTTTCCAACAACAACTGCCTGATGCCTCGTGTATTTTCTCCATGCTTTCCTACACAGATCTACAAGGATTTCCTTTTCCAGGCCACTTGCTCTGCTTCCACAGCTCCCTCTGTCTTGTGAAATAGAGTTTGCTGCTGGCTGTCCATTATCATCCCACCATGTGCATATCTCATTTGTACTTCATAAAATCCTTCATCGTATCTTGTGGCTTTATTGGCATGTCACTTGACTACAATGTGATATGAGGTTTGCAGGAAGAAGTTATAGCTCGTATTAAACCTGCTAATACAACTTGGGGAGAAAAGAGAAAAGCTGAATGGGAAAGGGGGCTTGTGTCAAACCCTAATCCCCTGTGCTACATTACCATTTGTGAAGGACAATGGAGCTCTCTGTGAAAGATTTTCATGTCTTTTTACTTTGCAAAGAGAGACAAATCCAGTGGTTTCTTTACTCTCCTTTGTTTTTATTAGCAGATTCCTCTACATGTGAGAGCATGGAATTTTCTTTTTACTGAATAATAAAATACGGTGTTTGCCAGACAAGTGCTAAAAGCAGCAGCCAGGATTTATTTTTTTTTCTTCTTTTTGGCATTTCCTGGCAGATTTTTCAGTGAGAGACATAAACCATTGTATCCTCTGGAGATAGTGTGAGATATCTCTGTGATTGAGAAAGAGGTATATTAATTGTGTTTGTACATGGAAAACATCATCGAGGTTGTACCACATGAGGTTACCTGACAATCTAGGCTTTAGCCCCCTGCAGAAACTTAGCCCCCCAGGAGCTAGCGCAGAGAAAGGCTGGGGTCAAAAGCAGAGCCTGTTTTATGTGAGAAGGCAAGTCTGCCATCTTCAAGGTACCCAGCTCAAAACACCTCCTTTCTACCAACCCTGCAGGGTGGGAAGAAAGAAAGGGACATTCTGTTTCAGAACAGAGTAGTGAGAGGCAGCTAACGGATTTGCCTCAGACCCAAAGGTTTCAGGTCAGCAACATGGCTCATCCCAGCTGGGGCTGAACTCGCACTCAGAGCATTACCTTCTTCAGGCAAGTGAGGCCCTGGTGTGATCGGATCCTTCTCACTATGGGCATAAACACAGTAACAAACTCTTGCTTTGACCAGTGTGAAACACAGATGCCTGTTTGGCATATGTCAAAAACTTTCTGGTTTGGGTGCTGCTGTCCTCCCAGGAACCTCTCTCAACCCTCTTATGTTGTCTGCATCCACAGCAGTAACTCTCTAATTGCTAAGGATGAAAGCTACAACAGTCCTAGAAGATGCCCCAAATCTGCTGATTGAAGCACCTTATTATCAGGCTATCTGGCCTCTGTCTGGAGCCAGCAATGATTTGCAGGTATTGAAGCTGATTACGTGCTTTCATCAAGTATTCCAGTAATGACACTATGTTAAATCAGTCACATAAAATGCAAGGGTAGGTGAAGGCATTTTAAACTGAAACACCACCCAAGTCAAAGAGATAAGGAGCTATGAACTGGCCAGAGAGTGCTGGCAGCACTTTGAGCATGGGGAAACCAGGCTGAGGCCATAGAGGCTGAGTTGCTGCTCACTTTGTGCTGTGCTGTGCACTGCAGAGCAAGGCAGGTCAGCTCACTGATCTGACACAGCCCTGCCAAAGCGTTTATTTCTGAGCTACAACCACTTTTAATATCAGACTGCACCTGTAGTTGCATGAGTGCTAAGACATGAACACATGGCATGTAGCTCAGCAGCTGGGGGTTCATTTTCTTTTCATTTTTTTAGAGCAGGGATGAGGAGAGGGCTAAGGGAATGATGTTTAATCTGTTTAGATTCCCTTGAGGACTCCGAGAAGGAGACTAACTGAAAAAGCCATTAATCTACCCCCAGGACCATCAGTAGCTCTGACTGATGCAACCCTAAACCCAGGACAGGCAGATTCCTTGGCAAGGTGTGTCAGGAAAACAGCTACAAGTCATCAGATGAATACTGGGGCAGGGAAGTAGATTAACTTTTAGTACCAGTAAGTGGAGTTCCCCATGCGTTTCTTTACCTCTGTCTTCTGTAAGAAATAATCACAGTGTTTCACCATTTTGGTTATTCCAAGTGCATACTTCCATTTACATTATATGGTAATCTTTTTATTAAAGGTAACTGCCTAGCCACCATTGTATATCCAAGCACGCTGTAGATCTGAAAAGGAGGGTACCATCGTAAACACTGCAGCTCCCCAGCACCCAGCAGGTCACGGTGGGCAGCCCCACAGAGGAGACGGGCCACTGAGAGCTGACACCCTGGGGGCCAGGGGAGCCTGAAATGTTTCTCCCTGAGCCAGCACAGCCCTCTGGCAGGCAGCATGGGGAGCGTGCCAGGGTCTGCAAGGAATTTGTCACAAGGGAGAAAACCCACAATAACCAAAACAGCACTTCATTTTTTTCTGTCCAGGAAATACGATGGGTTTAGAGGCAACAGCACTGTTTTGCAAACTCTCCCCTTTGTAACATGTTTTGGCTGCCAGCGTTCCCCAGAGATAAACATGATGGGTTTTGTTTTTGTTTGACTACTGAGCCTGGCCCTGTGTTTTCTGGAAGTCAACCTTGGAGCAACGCCCTGAGGAGTTTCAGAGTGGGCTTTGCAGCTCTCCCTGCAAAATGCCAGTGAGCATTTCTGTGGGAAGGTGACATCCCGAAAGATAGAAAATCGTTCTCCCACACGCTCTGAAGTTGTAGCTTTTTGTATTTTGGTCGCTCCCTCTTCTGCTTAATGTTTTCTTGGTCCCTGTCTTCCCTCAAGCATTACTCCTTTAGTAACAAAAGCAAGTAGCAGATGAGCAAACCAGCTCTGGTAAGTCACTCAAAAAGACCCTGAAAAAACACAGGCAGGAGGAAAGAGCAGTCATTGCATTTTGGATTGCTGCTTTAGTAAGACTTCCACAAGCACAGCATAGCTCCTGTGCTAAGGTAACTGACACAAACTCATCTTTCCTTTAACCTAGTGAGGGCTTTTTTTCTGCTCCCACTGCAGAGAAGACGTTAAACAGCTTATTCAGGTCAGGTTTTTGGCTGGAGCCCCACAGACTGTCCAGCAGAGCCTGGGGGGAAGCTGCAAATCCAGTGTTGCTACTGTTTCCTTGCACAGCTTTATGCCACCCAGTCAGAGGACCCAGGCTTTGACTCTTAGCAAGGGAATGTGCCAGGTCATGGAGACCCCAGTTCTCCCAGGAATGTTTCTTTGGTTTGGTATCCCTGGCACAAGCAATATAGTGATGGCCCCTGTGCCAGAGGTGTGCCTGGGCTGGAGCTCATCCCGCTACAAAGCATCAACCCAAATCCCACATAAGCCTCTGTTTGTGCAAGACAGATAGATTAGACTCAGGTTGGTTCTCTGCACTCTTTCCCATCTCAGGGGAGCACTGTCAATTCCCTCAGGTGCCCTTGGTGGAGATACTTGCACCCATCTGCTAGGCAGGGGAAAGTACTTAGCAGCACTGGAGAAGTGCAGTGCTGTACCAAGGATTTTGTGTAAATGATGCCTGCCTTCCCCTCCTCATGTAGCTGCCCTTCCCCGTGTTTCCCACTGTGGTTGTTTCTGTTCCCCTTCTGCCATTGCTCCTCTCACAGGGAGGGGATGAATTAAGCTGGGAATGGTGCTTCCACTCCCGTCCATCAGGCAGCCACAACTCTTCACTGGTTTGCTCCAATTTGTTATCAACTCCTTGTAAGAGCCACCTCACATAAAGGACAGTTCAGCTGCACATTTCTTACGTGTGAAGGCTCAGTGTGCTTGTTTGCCTTAAGCTAGACTGCAAACATTTTGCAACTCTCAAAAAAGGTGAATTTCAAGTAATTCATATGGCCCTGCTCTGTAGTTTTAAGCACCCAACACATTGTAAATAGCATGGACATGCTTGCTAAGGGACACTGGGTGGTCAGAGAAGAGCCTTGGCTCACTGGCTGCCGGCTCTGAGCAGCTCCTTCCTTCTAGTTTGCCCCCCCCCCGGTGTACATCTCACCCACCTCTCTTGCTTTCTCTTTCCTGCTCCATCCCTCTCTTCTTTCCTTTCACCTGTCTTTATGTTCCCCCTGGAATAGTTACCAGAAATACTATGAATCTAAAATGACCTGTGCTGCTTTCACACCCCCCTTTGGCTTCTGCATTTCACCCCAATCCCCATGTCTCTGCCTGTTTAGTTTGGAAGCTCTTTGGGCAGGGACCATCTAGTCTTCCAAGTGCCAAGTAAATGATGAGCTATTTGGTTGGTCTTTAGGCACTGCTTTAGCAAACTGACATTGATAATCCCCAAAACAGCTACTTTCACCATTTTAACATATCAGAAAATCTAGGCTGATGAGTCAGTGTATTACAGAATCCCTCCCAGCAAACAGCTTCTTCTGAATGCAGTGGTGCACGTCAGCTAGTAAGATGGTGGTGTACCACAGGGAGCAGTTAGAGGGTGCCATTCCTCAGGGTAATGTGACCTAAATATGACTGTTTAAATAAGAATTTGAGTGGTACTTCAGAGTTAATCCCCATTCTTAGGAAAAGAACTACATGAGGTTAAATAGTCACACCTAGGACTTGAGTTTCACGTGTCAGCTACAGACTTGTATCCTCAAATTCCGTGCTGGCTCACACATTCAGTTCTGAATTAGAAGGAAAAATAGATGCCTCTAAGTGAATCACCAGCATCTGTTCACACAGACACCTGTCTTTTCTCTTCCATTCATGTATTTGACCAGGCTTGACCTACTTAAGCTGTGAGCAGCTGGCAACAGCTTAGCCTAAAGATATTACTTCAGAATCCCAGATCACACAGAAAGCATGTTTAAATTGCCTCCTTTGTGCAGTTACACTTCCTTGGTTTTAACCCATTTGATAACATCAATGAGCACATAAGCCCCCACATAAGGCAAAAGACTGTGGGCCTTACCATGTCTTTAAATGCCCCAAGAATGGCTGCCGTAATAATCCCCAGGAACAACCCGATGATGTTGAGGACTGTGGAGGACCACAGCAGCCTGTACAGGTGAACCACGTCCTGGCAGCTGCTCACACCAAGAAATTCATAGTAGCTGGAGGACTGCTCTGAACTGAAAGGGAATACAGACATCATTGCAGTAGGAATGGTTTTGATGTAATGCAGAAGACCAGAGGATCTGAATCTCTCCTGCTTGCTTTCCTCTTTGGTGGAGTAGTTTATCCATGCTCCCACCAAATACTGCTCAGATGAACTGGAGAAAGCTCTGCTGCAGACAAAAATTTGGCTCTAATAATGCCGGCATTAAATGAGTCCAACTAATACCAACGCTAGCTTCGCTGATAGATGTGATGTACCAGCAGGGACTCTTTTTTTTTGCTTAGGATCTCTGAACACAAGCACAGTCCTGGCGTATGGATGCTGCCCTTGCCATTTAGCTACCAGCTAAAGCATGCTTAGCACTGCTTTTTTTCCCCTGGCTCACCTGGAAATTTGCTGGCATCTCTGGAACCAAGGAAGGCAAGTCACTTAAGCATTAATTCAACCACAGGAAGGGAGATTTTGCCAGCTGGCTACCTTTGTTTATGGTGTCTGTGGTTCCAAATTAACAGATGCAATATGGTACAGTATAAAGATGTGCACTTACACTATGGATTGCACTATCCAGAAATCTTTCTTGCCTATATTTCTACACTGCACTGATTGCTGTAAATCAGGCATGTTGTGAAGTTAACCCTCACTGTCTTGACAAAAGTCAGAAGAATCCTACTGAAAAATTTGAAACCACAGTTTCCTGCAGCTCTTTCCAGTACTTGCCTTAATGCTATCCCACTAATGGGCTCCTAGAGCAGCCATCTGAGTTGGAAAGATTGTTTAAACGCCAAGATTTTGCACTGTTAGGAACTTGACATCAGATCATGGGGAAAACAGAAGTGAGCAGTTTGTGCTCACTCTTCTGTTTCTCCACCCACAGTGCATGGGGCAGCAGTGGAGATGGTGGTTAGGGAAAGCTCTATACAGGAAGGTAACACATGGAGAAACCTGTAATAACATTTCTGGGAAAAAACAAGCCAAGCACAGCAGTTCCTGGAAATGTCCAGTCAATTGTTTTGGGGCATGGTGAATCTGCTACTGTTGAATTCACTTGGGCCTTATGATGAGCCGACCTTAACTAAATAGGCTCATCACAGAGCCTGTAGCTTCAGCTGCCATGAGTCTGAGGAAATCTGACTTGTGATCCTGCCTGTGTACTGATCTGTTGCATGGGTGACACCAAGTCACTTTGTGTGACTGTGTTTCCTACTTCTCTCCAGCTGTCCTATGAACTGGAATTGCCAGGACTGCGGGGCACTGTGACCACTTCTTTACTCTGGTTTTGTCTATGCCAGTGCCATAAGATCTTGCTGCCCACTGTGGATTGTTGACAATGGCATGTTTAATTATATCATCCAATACTGTCACAGCAGTGATCAGTCTCGGGTGTTTCAAACAAACCCAATGTGCTAGAAAAATGGTACTAAGAACTTACGTCTGGAGGAGGAGTATTCCTGATGACCCCTTCTTACCTTATGTTTTAAGCAACAGAGTTTCAGTCACTTTATTTGATAACTCTGAATGGTTTTACCCCTTTAAGATCCCTGTTCTTTTCTGTATTGAGTTGGGCTTTTCAATTCAGTGTTAACATACAGCAGTTAGTTGTATACCATGGAAGAAAGCATTCTCAGCGTAAACATACTGTATTGCAACTATGATATTCCATCATTTGTCTGTCACAGAAAAGGTACCAATGTTGTACATAATCTACCTTTCCCATTTCATTCGTTTTGTATACCTCCATCATGTCCAGATTTAGCACTTCTTACACAAGCAAAAGACTCTAACTTTCGTAGTGGATTTTAATTGATTCCATTGTCCTGCACTCACTATGCTGTTTATTTGCATGAGACATATGCATGCACAGATGACTTCCCTCTTGTACCAGATTTCATTGTGCTTCTCTAGTTGAGGCAGGCCTTGTGTGGAAGCCTCACTGTGCCAGCCTTATTGCCCTACACTTAAAATGTTTCATGTCTGGCAGCATGCTAGCCAAGACTTACAGAGGACGGGGCTTATTCAGGGCTGCTAGCATGGGAAAAGGAGGGAAAACCAAAACAAAACAGGAGATGTAGGAAGGAAGAAAGGTGAGAAATAAACAGAGGGAAAGCAAGAAGAGTGGCTGTGGGTGAGCTGTAGAGGGTTGCAGAGGTTGCATGAGAACGCATGGTAAGATGTTACTGAGGTGCACAGAGGATGAGTCAGGCAGATCTGCTCTGGGAAATTCTCTTCAGTTTCTTGTCTATGGCTGCTTGCAGTTGAAATTTCTATGTTCTAGGTGGCCAGTCAGTTGTGCGAGTTCATTTCATCTGTCTTCCATATCATAAACCCTTGTACTTTGCTGTGATGTAGTTTTTCCTTACCACCTCTTTTACTCCTGTTAAATCACTGCTTGGCAGCCCTGTGCTAACCTTCACCTGATCTTCATAAGCATGTCCAGACATTTCCTTTCTTATCTTCTGACAGGTCATGCTTTGGCAATGACGAAATCAAGTGAACAGCTTCAGAAAACACAAGACCCTCTCTATCTAACCCATGATAATTTAGCAAAATCCCCTGCCTACAGAGCTAACAAAAGAGCTCTCCACATACCTACAACATGGTCTCTGCTTATGGATGCCTATGTTCCTATTTTTTTCCCCCAGTTTGGTTGGGTAAAAGAAAAAAAATTCATCAAATCTAATGGGGAAATTGCCATTGTAGGATCAACAGTAAACCTTGACAGGGCTATGACTAAATTGTCGATTTTGATCACACAGCAAAGAGCTTATGGACATATTTAAAGTAAAAGAAACCAAAATAATGCCAACACTAATACTCAACCCCTGACTTCTTCTCTGCTGGCATCAGGACTTCAGTCTCAGAGGAACTGGATTGCTCAGCATACAAGCCCATTGTGTTGCTTCTCCAGCCCTAAGGGCACCAGCCACAGTCATTTAAGAGGGACAAGCAATCAAGGATTTTTTGGAGCAATTGTCTGCACTCAGATACTTACTTCTCACAGTTGTACAGGTCACAGCAGTAGCATGTGTTACTCTTTACTTTCAGCTGGCATCTGCTGTTTAAGGTATAACATGTCACCTGCCAAAAGAAAAGAGACTGACTTTTATCCTCTGTTTCAGTTTATGTGAATCAAGCTACTGACCACAAACAGCAGCTACCGCAGTGTCAGGTGTGCAGTAGCTGCAGTACTGTTGTGCAGGCAGATCCTGAGATTCCAAAATCCATGACAGCAGGGCAGAAGGACCTCCCTGAGGTCCCAGAAGTTTCATCTGGGACATCAGCTCAGGCAATTGCACTATGGAGCCCAGAGGGTCCAGCACCAATCTGCAGCCAGGGCTGCCAGAGTTCTCAAACCCTTTGCTGCACTCCCTCGTGCTGTTTTGCTGAGCCCCAGAGTCTGCAGCTGTGAGATAAGATCCCTTTTGGCTGTGACACAGGGACCTGGGTCTTGGGAGATACACCAAAGCACGCTACTGAAGTGGGCAAGAGTGCCACTCCATTATAGTGGGGGAACAGGCAAAGAAATGGCCAATTTATCTGAACAGCTCCCAGTAAGTGGGAGCTCTGTCCTCTTAGTAGAAGAAGGAAAGAATTAGGAACAACAGTAAGAACAGTCTCCAAATTCATAAACAAACTGCTTAGAACTTCTACTACTAAATAAGTACCATTTACTGTAGGCTCTTGAGCAGAAAACTGAAAAGGTGTATTAGTATGAGCAGGAATTGCAGGGATGCACAGATGTTAGAACAATAAAGGCAGGCACAGGTCGCCCACTCGCAATCCAGACAAGAAATCTTTTTAATGACTTCTTAAGTATGATAAGCATTAATCAATTTTGTTTTGCACTCCAGACCAATTGAAATATTTTATGTGTAAACCTGTTTTTTTCCATGACGTTTTTAGCTTATTGACTTTGCACCCTGGAAAACTGCCATGTTTTAAAAGGTAGCAGGTCAGAAAAGACATTCTTCCTATACTTTTTATTTTGATAGAAAAAATGTACTGTAACCACTGAGAAGTATTTTTTTTTGTAAAATGCAAATAAAACGTATTATTGAATGGAAAATACCCTGTAATGGAAAAGTAAAAGGAGCATGCTTACGAATACATGCCTGCTTTTGAAAAGCTTCTGTCAGTTCTGCTTAGCCATGAACATGAACTGCCACTGTTGATGAGTCTCTGCTCCTCATGTGTTTGTTCCCAACAAAAGAAAAGCCTTAAACACATACAACTCAGCACCAAAGAAACTTCATCTTGTAGCTGGTCTCGTGCTTGCCACACTTGTCCTGAGCAGAATTTGCTTGAGCAGTGTAAGTCAGGTGACGAAGCTAATGTCAAAATGATGCCTTTGGATTGCTTTGCTGCCCAGGGCAAGGCTGTAACTGTGGTTAGTGTCTCATACAAATGAGCTCTTCTAACCCAAAATGGAAGTTTGGTTATAAAAGGATGGTCTCAGTCTAGGTTGCAGTCTGCAAATGGAGCTTATGGCTTGGTACAGACCTACTGCACTTGTCACAAGAATATCTCACCCTGAGATAGGACCTTGTTTCGTCAGCCTTGTTCTGTCTGAACTTACTGGGGTTTCACATGAGGGCTTGTCAGACTGAAGCCACATTCATCCACAGCCGTCCTCAGCCTGAGCTGCAATTTACTGCAGAAGAGGAGTATCTACCATCAACAACAGGGTAGGCTTGCTCAAGATCCTGCTTAGAAGTGACTGAAACATCACACCTGGCTCTTTCTCAAAGCAGATTGAAAACTAATCCTGGAGCAGAGTGTAGCAATGCATTTGCTACCACAGCTATTTTGTTGGAATGCCCTGGTGGTTTTGGATTGAGGGGAACTTAAGACTTTGGTTTTGACCCCCTGTATGTAGTCAAATTGGCCTAGGACCTGCATAAATTAAAATACCCTTTTTCCATTACATATGCATGACTGAGAGTAGAGGGCTTCACAAGATGGAGTGGGCTGCTAAAAAGGTGGTTTATTCTGATGCATGTCTTTGGAGACCACTTCTGATAGGAAATCAAAGTAGTTTTTCTTCTCTGAGCATTTAGAAGGCCAGTTTGCTCCTTTATACTGTAGAAGGCTAGAAGTACAAATGGCGGAGAACGGCAGACCTTACACATGGTTTTTGCTTGCTTCTGGGTTGCAAGACATTATTTTATTGGCCAAAGAAGTTACTGTAGTGGTCTATTTTTATCATTGCATTTTTAAAACATGCAAAGAGCAAGACTCTCCTTTTTAGGAGAACAGTGAGTAAACCAAAATAAGCAAACTACTGTGTGGTGTGCACAAGGGTGGTGGAAACATGCCATCTGTGTGTATCATGCATGTCAAGACCTATTATTTCATTTTAGTGACCAATCACTTAGCTTTTTCATGTTCTGGCTGTTTGTGCTTGTCTATCCTCTCAGCACCAATTGAAGAAATGTTCTTACCTCATCAATTGCTAGAAAATCAAATTCTTTCTGCTTTGAGGAAACTGAAGAACCAACACAGACAAACTACATGAGCTGGAGGCCACTCACAGGCTACAGATGGCAACCCAAAGGAAACCTGCACTCAGTAAGCAGTCTGCCTTCCTAATTAGGTGTTTGCCTGGCATGCAGAGCATGTCCCCTGCTCACTAGCTGGCTAACTTTGGAAAAGCAAAATCCAAGTTCAAATGCCACAGATCATTAATTCTGAATTAGCACATGCTGAGTCTAGATCAGCAGACAAACAGACAAGAATGTTATTGCAAGCTAACTACACTTTTAAAAGACATAGGGGTTTTGCCAGAATAGAGCACTGAGCTGTGGGTGCCCCATTTTCAGACATACCCAGAATCTGCAGAGCTGGGGAAACCTGTCTGGCCAGAACCCCAAGGCTGGGGTCATCTGCAGGGAGTCATTTGTGGTCAGTGTGATGCCAGCTACACTCTTATTACAGGAATCAGAATCATTTCTCAGGCCATGTCTGTATGTGCAGGCACACTTTAGAAGAGATTACAGGAAAGGGTGTTGTCACATATTGTAAGTTTGCCTGGATAGGTCTTTAGGCAAGGAGGGCAGTGAAATATATTTCTCATACATTTTCTGGAATCAGCAATGGGGTGCCCTAGCAGCAAGATTTAAGGAGTATTAGCTTCTTAACCTGGTAATATACTTTGCTAAGCTGTCTAGAATTATTAACGGTAACATTCCCCATGCACTTTTTCTTAGGCAGGGGAGGAATGGTGATGAAGGACATCTGGCTTCTTGTAAGTTATACCACTGTTTAGTTGTTCTCAGTCCTGCCCTACTTGATTTTCTTTACACTCCCACCAATTTACCACAATAATAAAACGAAATATAGCAAAAGAAACTAAATCTGGACTTCTCAGGAGGCTAGCCACTTGGGTATGGGCTCTTTTCTGACCATGTTGATGTCATTGATACAATAATAAAAAAGCTGCATTCACACCACTGGCATCCTTGGCCTTTGCTGGATAAATACAGAAAAGATTTGAAGTCTTCTGGACAATGCAAATGGATTCATTTAGATATTTCCTATTTCACTCGAAGGCTACAAAAATATCCTTAGAGAAAGATGCCAATGTGACAGATACATTCCAGACAGTATAGATGGACTAGGAAATTCATTCCAGTCCCAGAGTAATGTACTGGATAGAAACACTGATGATGAGTCAAAACCCCACTGACTGTAATGATTTGCAATCATCAGAGGCTTGGACAAGTGGGGAGTCACCTGTGGGATTAAAAACAGTAAAACCTGTATGGTTTCTATCAACCCTTGACCTAAATGCACAGACATGCTCTCAAACACCTGCATCCCTCCTCCCCTCAAAGCACAGCAGAAACAAACATGCGATGAGGTGAGTTTGTTTACCTCTGTCTGGTAGGCATCATATAGGAATCCTATTCCGCTTGAATAAAACTGGCACCTTTTGTTATACAAAGGTCTGGGTTCCTGTAAAGACAAAAATAGCCAAAACCATATTCAGTCTAGAGGAAGTGTGAAGGCACCATGTCCCATGTCTCCATGCCAGAAGCTTACAGTGCTATGGAGCTGAAGCCAATGCAGACACTTGGGTAAGTAGCAAAGACACCCCCACCATTGGCTTTCTTTCCAGAATGGCTCTCCTCAGGGTCTCCTTCCTCACTCTGCATGTGAGTAACATTTATTTTTCCCTTTACCAGTAACCTCTTTTAAGAAGACATCACCCCTGGCATTTAACCACTTCCTTGCTTGATGTCAAATAGTACTGCTCTATGAGAATGGTCCAGTTGCTCTTTTTCTTGGTACAGTTTCTTACCTAATGCAAGGAATTGCTTTGGGTCTTTATTTTTAAAGTATATCAACAATGCCCATACTGAAAACAAAGTAAAATAGCTAATTCTTTAAAGCATTCCACCTACTACACACAATTCTACTCCCCAAAGCGAAACAAAGAATAATGAAGAAATGAATGCATAAAGGGGAAGGTTTTGCCTTGTTTTCCATTTATGCTTATTGCAAAAGATGCATTCACTGCTCATATTTCATATTTTGCTTGTAACAGTTCCCACAAGCTCATATAAAAGAACACAGTGAAATCTCTTTGTCCAGATGGAAGACGTATGTTTCTGAACATGGCAAATGGCCACTTTGAAGGCTAGAGGATGCACATCTCAGCCAGTTTCAGGACTAGACCATATTTAACAACTGAAGAGTCTTCTGTGATCAGATGTCCACCCCAAAGCAAAGTGTGGGAATGACTTATGTTGGAAAAAAAATGAAAGGTTTTTTTTTTTGTCTTTCTGTCACTTATCTAGTCCTGATCTGTCCTTTCAAAATCACTGAGGTGCTCCCCTATATGTTGTCAGTCAGACCGCTTCCAAGAGAGATGGTGGAACCCACTATTTGCCATCCCCTCTTACCATGCTAACTTACAGCAAAAGACTACTCAAGTTGTTAGCAGAAATCTGCTCTGATTAACTTTCACTGCATTTTAAAGCTTTATGACCCACCCAGAAATTGCACTGCACTGCTTAAGATCACTTCTGAGTATTCTATGCTTGTTGGATAATGAAGTGTGAACTGTATAAATCTGCTGACCCAAAGTACATAATCAGTTAAAATGCAGAGCAGTGCAGGAAAGCAGACAGGTCAATGAATAAGGCTCATCCATCAGTTTGTTTGCCTTTCTGATTACTCTGACAAACCCAGGCAAGTTTGGACACCAACTCCCAAGGGCTAGGGAAAGGTTAGCTCGCTGCCTCCAAAAATGCTTATTTATATTACACAAGTGTAAAAAGTCTTCAGTAATTTTTTTTTCTCTAGAGGAAAAGCAAAAACTATACAAACAGTATGCCATGTCCTGAACTAGGACAACCTTCTTCCATAGGCCTGGGAAAGCATTAGCCTTTAGCCACGATTTCCAGGGACAGATCTGGTTGGGAGGACTAACAGGATTGTAGTTCCTCTTCTAGCCCAGGGAGCATAGTATCAGTCAAAGGTGCTCTCCTTTCACAGAGCATCATATTCCAACCTTGATTTCATCTGTTGTATGGGGATGAAATGAGAGACAAGGGGAGTGATGAGGAAAAATGGCTTTTTCTGCCATGAGAAGCAAATTTGTGAAAAACTTCTATCCATCTTATTCACAACAATAAGAAGTTTCAGATATGGGAGGATCCTGGAAGGGGGCAATGCTCAAGTGCATGGAGCTCAAGTGGTGCTCTCAGTCCTGCTGGTGAAGAGAAATGGCTTGAGGACTGGGCAGATCCAGTGGATTAAGAAGTGGCTGTGCATCTGGTGTCATCTACAGGAATTTGGCTTTTATGACAATATATTTCATGATCAAGGACTTCTTGGAAGACGTGGAATCCACCTGATTAATTATAGCATAATTAATAGCATTTTTGCCTTCAGTCTAGTCAGTTGGCTACAGGAGCTTTAACTTGGGAACAACAAGATGGGAGATGAGGAACAACAATCAAGTGAAGAAGTAGCTGACCAATGAGATAAGTGAAGTGAACAGGGTGATGTGGACAAAATAAATCTTATAATCAACAGGCTACATAGAGCCCACTTCAAGTGTACGCACATGAATAAGGAAGCACTGACAGGACAGCACACGGAAAGCTCTCATCCCTTTTCTAGGATGCTTAGCACTCTTTGAAATATCTGTACACTAACACATGACAGGCAGTTTGAGAACAGTCAGTTTGAGGTTCTGTGTGCAGTCACAAGGCAATGAGCTCACTAGGATCACAGAAGCATGGTAAGATAGCTCACAGGACTGGGTGCTGCTATGGATTGGTACAGGCTTTTTAGGAAGGACAAGAAAGGAGAGTTGCTCTTTATGAAAGAAAGCAGCAAGAATACATGGAGATCTTTTTAGGGACAGATGAGAAGCCAGCTGAGAGCTTATATGTCAGTATTAGAGGCCAGACCAGGATGGGCAACATTGCGGTGGGTGTCTGCTATAGACTGCCCAATCATGAAAAAGTAGATGAGGCTCCTTTAGACAACTGGAGACTCTGCTCATGCAGAGTACTTTAATTACCAAAAAGTAGTAAAGGACTTTACCCCAGCATCTGAGGGAAGCACAGTGTATCTGCTGGAGGGACAATACAGCATGACTCAAGTAATCCAGGAGGGTTCTGCAGTGCATTAACAACCACTTCCTAACATGGGTGATCAAGGAGCTGATGAGGAGAGAGGAGCTCTGCTGGACCTGGAACAGGAAGGACTGCTCAGGGGTGTTTCAGGGACACCCTTGCACCTGAGAATGACATGCTGGAGTTCAGAATCTGGAGAGGAGGGAGCAGGGAAAAAAAAAGCAGAATTCCAGCCCTGGACTTCAGGAGAGGAGACTGGCCTATTCAGTGATCTGCTTGGAAGAATCCCATGGGATAATCCTGGAAAGCAGCAAGGTCCATAAGAGCTGGTTGATATTCAGGGATTACCTTTTCCAAACTTGCAAACAGTTCATCCCAGCTAATAGGAAATTGATTAAAGGCAGACGGATGCCTGCAGTGATGAACAAGGAGCTCCTGATATAACTCAGACATAAAAAGGAAGTCCCCACAGCAAATAAATGAATGATGATTGAGTGCATAAAAGTAACAAATATTAGATAACACCAACTTTATTCAGGCACCCACAGAACTCAAAACCTGAAGCATGCAGCTTTTAAGTAGAGGTACACTGGGGATGCTGAAGGGTTGCCTTGGTAAAAGCTTCCATTTGAATTAGATTTTAATGGCACAGAAGCACTGTGGTCTGTCTGTCTACTAAGGTGTTTATATGAATAAAGTACCAGAGAGACACTAAAAAGTGTTTTAAAATTATCCAACAGAAAGTCATACTGCATTAATGCCCATTGGATTTTATAGGCCTCTCTAATAACAAAGGCAAATGAGACATACTTCAAAGCTATACAAGTATTCCTGACAGATTGTTGATAAAATATATCTTCACATTGCTCACTGCAGACTGTGTATGAATATAGGATACCTACAAGTCCTTGATTCTACTTGATTCTACAGGTTAAAGCAATACTGGTAGAGACAGAGCTAATTTAAATATAATATATGTATATATATATCATCTATTAAGAGTTGCTTTATAGCAACAAAGTTCTGTTTAACTAATTTGGTATCCTTTGATATCAGGAACTTCCTCAAACATTGTTATCGGAACAGAGCTATGCAATACCTCTCACTGCATGACTAATGTAATAGTGATATATTAATATAGAAAAAATAATGCATTCCTCTTCTCTGCTTCTTGAGAAACTCTCTTTAACTGAAAACAGGCCAGTGGTAAAGATCCGTTGATTAGACCTCGGCTGATATATGAAGAGGACAAACACCAGTAGGCTGGCAAAAACAGGAAGAATTCTATATTAAAAATAGTTGCATGCTTGGGTTTCCTTAATGGTGTAAAGGAAAAACATATGAATTTTATTCAGTCCTTCTCAGCACTAGAAAAGATGATTTCTTACGTATTTACATATGAGACTGTGTGAATAATGGGCAGATACAGTCAGATTGCCATCAGTTTAAGTTTAGAAATTCTTCAGAGGTGTCAAAAAGAAACCTGGACACCCAGTAATTATTTTTAATTTCAGTCAAATCAGAATGGCTCAGCCTTGAACCCAGCAGAGTAAACCATAGCTCTCCCTCTTCTTCCAATTTCGATATTGTCCTTGCGTATATATTAAAACCTGGGAGTGATGAACAGGCGGCTAAGAGGGAAGGCTTTATGCCAAGGAACAGAAGATTTGGTCCAAATACAGAGAGTTTTGGTTTGTTTGGTTGCTTTATTTTAAGAGCATACAATAAAAACCCCACATTCTCTTTGATGGTGGGAGCATTGCAATACATCATTTGTGTAAGGAAAGTATTCTTTCAACAGTATCTTTGGTGGATTTGATACAATGTCTGTGGGGAGGAGGTTGTACGGCTCTTAACTGAGGTATGGAAAGTAGATTTTTCTATTCCAGTTTTTGTTTCCTTGGAGAACACATATATTTTGGATAACATAGAGAAAATTCCATCTCCGTTATGTATTAAGTCCACTTTCTGAAAACTGAGATGTACCATAACTTGTATTGACTGAAATTTCTGCCATACTTTACAGACACAAAACATGGCTAATAATTCACTGAAATAATTATATAGTGAGTGCTATTTTTTTCCAATTACAGTATTTATTTAGTCTTAGCTTCCATGACTGCATTGATAGAATTGTAGATTAATCAGTGCCAGGGAATGTTCCCAGGCCTGAAACTCGATCATCCAGCCCATTAAATTGTTAGAACTGTGCCTGTGATGGACTTGGCCAGGGTAAACTGTCACTCTTCCAAAATCATTCCTGGGCATGGCTTAGAATTTTGCATGGGCCAGGAATCATTCCCAGTGAGTAATCTGGATGCTGCCATACTGCCTGTGACTCTAAGAGACTTTTAAGAGTAAGGG